AAACTGTGATCCTCGGGCCTCAGCCTCCTGCGTAGCGGGGATGGCAGGTGTGAGCCCCAGGTGGGCAGGCAGACTTGGGGGGCGGGGGGCATGGACAGACCTGCGCAGGCCCGGGAGGCGCAGCATCCAGCGCGGCACGAGGCTCTGCCCGGCCAGCAGGACCAGGCCCTGCCTGGTGGTGAGGAGGAGGTCGCTGCCGTTGGAGTCCAGGGCCTTCACCACCTGGAGCTGCTCCACGCCGTCGCTGGATTGGACAAGAGCCTGTGGTGGGCGGTTCTTCCCGGACACCCGCGTGTATGCGCCATCCGCAGCCCGTGCCTGACCACGGGCCCACGGAGGACCGAGCGTCCACGCACACGCACGCATCCCTGGGCCTTTTATTTCATTTTATTTTTTACTTGGGGCGTGGGCGCCGTCCCTGAGCTCTTTCACTCAAGGCGGGCGCTCTACCACTTGAGCCACAGCTCCACTTCCTGTTTTCTGCTGGTTCATGGGAGATCAGAGTCTCTTGGACTCTCCTGCCTGGGCTGGCCTTGAACCTCGATCCTCAGATCCCAGCCTCCTGAGCGGCTGGGATGACAGGCGTGAGCACCGGCGCCCGCTATCCTCGCTGAGGACTTAGGATGCAAAGATCTGAGGATGGCGGTTCAAATCCAGGCCGGGCAGGAAAGTTGCTGTGAGACTCTCATATCCCACGAACCATAGAACAGCTGGAACTGCAGTGCGAACGGTGCAGCACCAGCCGTGAGCCTCGGCCGCGAGTTCAAGCCCCAGGACCAGCTCAAGAAAACACACACACACACACACACACACACCATCATCAACACTGTCCTTGGTTATGTCAAAAGGACACACTGCGGCCGGCCGGTCACATTTCCCCTCCTGCTCCTGCTCTGAGCCCAGGACGCCTAACACCGTCACCACCGCCAAAATACCTGTGCACGGGGATGAGCTCGGACGCGTTGCCCGCACGCCGCCGCTCCCAGGCCGGCTCCGCCGCCTGCAGGGTCCCAGGCAGGGGCCCCGGGCTCTGGGCCTGCAGGAGCAGGTCACGCAGGGCCACGGCCTGGATGTTTCCTAGGGCCACAGGAAGAATGACACGGCGAGGCCTGGGTGGGGGGTCTCCCGGGACCCACGCCAGAATGCACGCGGGGAGGTGACAGCTCTCAGCGGGAAGAAAGGGAGGCCGGGAGACAGGAGGCTGAGGAAGGGAGGCTGGGAGACAGGAGGCTGAGGAAGGGAGGCCGGGAGACAGGAGGCCGAGGAAGGGAGGCTGGGAGACAGGAGGCTAAGGGAGGTCAGGAGACAGGAGGCTAAGGAAGGGAGGCCAGCAGATAGGAGGCTGAGGGAGGCTAGGTTGTCAGGAAGCTGAGGAAAGGAGGCCAGCAGACAGGAGGCTGAGGAAGGGAGGCTGGGAGACAGGAGGCTGAGGAAGGGAGGCCGGGAGACAGGAGGCTGAGGAAGGGAGGCTGGGAGACAGGAGGCTGAGGAAGGGAGGCCGGGAGACGGGAGGCTTAGGAAGGGAGGCTGGGAGACAGGAGGCTGAGGAAGGGAGGTCAGGAGACAGGAGGCTGAGGAAGGGAGGCCAGTGTCACCCATGGCCTCACATTCCCCCCCCACCCCCATCGCCCCGTCCTGTCCCCCCTGCCTGGCCGGGCCGCTTACCGAAGCCGAACAGCACGTAGACGGCCCCGCTGGCGGTGGTGTAGAGCTGGGGGCCGATGAGGTTGCCCACCCCCACACCATCGTAGCGCACGGCGCGCCCCACGGGGGTCCCCGCGCGGCCGGAGACCAGCAGAAAGCACAGGTCGGGCTGAGGGCAGGAGGAGGTCGAGTGGGCCGGCGGCAGCACGGAGCCGCGCGTGCTGGCGGCCGGCGCTGGCAGGTGGGAGGCCTGGAGGCCCCGGAACGGAGGCCAGGCGGCGTGCAGAGGCCTGCACAGCGCGGTGGGGCAGTCACCCGGGGCCAGGGCCTGGCAGATGGCAGGCCGGCCGCGTGTGGAGGGGCAGCGCCCCTGGAAGTGGCCGACCCCCCCACACACACACACACACACAAGGGCCGAACCTGCGCGTCCCCCACGGCCAGCAGCAGCAGGTCCCGGGCGCCGTCCCCGTCCAGGTCCGGCAGGAGCACCGCGGGCGCTGCCAGGGTGCCATTGGCCAGGTGCTCAGGACGGAGCGTCCACACGGCCTCACCTGCGGGGGGGGGGAGGAGGGAGAGAGGGGGGGCTGAGGACCCCCTCCCCTCGGCCCCTGCGCCAGTTCCCCTGCAGAGAGCTGAGCCCCAGCCCTGGCCTTCCCAGATTCAGTCACATCTCAGATGAGGCCCAGCGTGGAGGCCGGCCTCCAACCACCATACTCCTCCCCTGGGCCTCCCAGTCCCTGGGATCGCAGGCCTGGGCCGCGGCGCTCGGCCATGTGAAGCCACCAGCAGCCGCCACAGGCCCCGGCCCCCCTCCCCTGGCCTGAGGTTTCGCGGCCATGCCAGCCCCGGGCAGGCTCTTTGTCTTCCATCCAGGATTTGCAGCCAAGGGGCCCCGGGCTGTTCCTGCCCGGAGAACTCGGCCTAGCGCCATCTTTGTGCCAAACAGGCTGGAGCAACCTCTGATCTTACCTGACGAGGCCCTGTAGGCCCCCAGCGCGCGGCGCGATCCCGTCACCAGGCAGAGCGCCTCGGCCCCGCGCCCCGGCTCCAGGTCCACGCAAGCCACGTGCTGGGCCTCCTCCGGGAGGGGCGTGGACCACAGCGTGCTGCCGTTCATGCCGGACAGGCACAGCAGATGAGCACGGGGGCCGGAGCCCGGGCCACCTGGGAACAAGGGGCACGGTGGGTGAGAAACGGGGAGGAGGGAGAGAGAGGAGCAAGTCCTGAGTTCAAATCCTAGAATCACTAAAAAAAGAAAAGAAAACAAGGAGGAGACAGGGAAGGAGGGGGGAGGGAGAGGAGGGGAGGGGAGGGGAGGGGAGGGGAGGGGAGGGGAGGGGAGGGGGGCTGGGCAAGGACTGTGTGCCCAGGCCGGCCTCAGGCCCCTGTCCGAGCTGGGTGTGCGTATGCGCATGCGTTGGGGGGGGGGGGCTTGAACTCGGGGCCTGGGCGCCGCTCTTACCTCCCGCGCTGCGGTTCCCGGGCCTCACCAGGGCCAGCAGCACGTCCCGCAGGCCGTCCCCGTTCACGTCGGCCAGGTCCAGAGGAGCCAGGTCCCCTCCTGAGCACACACAAGGGAAGAAGGGCCTGAGCAAAGTCCCGGGCAGCCGCTGGGGTGGGGTGAGGGGGGGACTTCAGCACCCCAGGACCTAGAGGACAGGCGGGGCGCACCCCACCCTGCTCCCCAGAATCCACCCCACGTTCCCTGAGGAGCGGGAGACCCTGGGTGGAGGGCCAAAGGCTGAAGTGGCGCTGTGGCTCAAGTGGTAGAGCGCCAGCTTTGAGTGAAAGAGCTCAGGGACGGCGCCCAGGTCTCGGGTTCAAGCCCCAGGACCGGCACAGAAATCAATCAATCAATCAATCAAATCAAACTGGCTAGGCATTGGTCCCACACGCTGTAACCCTCGCTCTCGGGAGGCTGATTGTGAGGACCGTCATTTGAGGCCAGTGTGAGCAAAAGAAAACATAGTAAGATGATGTTTGGAAGACTCCCTGTCCACCCACAGCTGCAGCCACACCTGTGACTTCAATTTGCCTCAGGAAGGGGGAGGAGGGGGAGGATCAGAGAACCGGGGATCCAAGTGCCGTCCCCCAGTGGAGGAAGGGGCAGACATGATGCCCTTCTTCCCGAGATGGTCTGGGGGGGGGGGGTGTGGGAACGGCCTGGTGAGTTTCTCGGTGAGCTGAGGCGGAACCCACAACCCTGCATCCCGGGAGACTGAGTCACGGCACCCAGCCACCCCCCTCTGGGCGAGAAAGGCGAGACGGAATTATTTTGGAGCTGACATGAGGTCTGGCCTGGGGTCCACCAAGGGCCCTGGGCACGGGTGCAGCCCGGGGATTCGAAGCTGCCTTCCTCTGAAGACCATCCCACCACACTCGGCCTGTCCCACCAGCATCTGCCTAAGACCTGGGACCCAGCATGCATCTCGGGGCTCACCTGAGCCCACGGCCAGGCATCCATCTTGGGGCTCACCTGTGCCCCACACCCCAGAGCTCACCTGCACCCATGGGCAGGTGAGTCTCGGGGCTTACTTGCACCCATGGCCAGGCATGCGACTCAGGGCTCATCTGTGCCTGTGCCCCTGAGGTCACCTGCACCCACGGGCAGGTCTGAGTCTCGGGGCTCACCTGAGCCCGCGGGCAGGCATGTGTCTCGGTGCTCACCTGCGCCCATGGCCAGGCATGCGACTCGGGGCTCACCTGGGCCCATGGCCAGGCATGTGACTCGGGGCTCACCTGCGCCCGCAGGCAGGCATGCGTCTCGGTGCTCACCTGTGCCCATGGCCAGGCACACATCTCGGGGCTCACCTGTGCCCCCCGCCCCGGAGCTCACCTGCACCGGCGGCCAGGCGTCGGATCCAGGTGCTGTGCAGGTCTCGCGGCGGGCAGGGGATGAGGAAAGCGCACAGCAGCACGAGCACCATGGACAGGAGCAGGGTGAGCAGGAAGACCGCCGTGCGCACGCAGGCAGCCACGGAGCCAGCCACCTTGGGCTCCAGGCCCCCGGGGGGCTCGGCCGGGAAGCCCTGGGCGCCAGCCTCGGGGGCACGGGGTGGGGCGGGCCCCACGCCCTCCACATCCGAGTCGGGGGCCTCTCCCCGGGGGCCCTGGCCGTTCTTCACGCCCCCATTCTTCTGCGGCGTGGCCAGCACCAGGTCATCCTCGCTCTCGTCGCTGTCAGCCTGCGTGAGCGGGTCATACTCCCCCAGGTCCGGGCTCTTCTTGCCTGCAAGGCCAGGCGGGGGTCACTGGTGCACCCCACATGCCAGCCCCAAGGCCGGGGGCCAGGGAGGGATGCCCCAGGCCCCAGGATGTAGCCCAGCAACACACACACACACACACACACACACACACACACACACACACACACGAAATACATCTTCATCCTTTTAAAAAAAATCAGAGTCAGGTGCTAATGGCTCCCGCCTGTCACCCCAGCTCCTCAGGAGACTGAGATCTGAGGATCATGGTTCAAAGCCAGCCAGGGCAGGAAAGTCCGTGAGACTCTGATCTCCAATAAACCACCAGAAAACTGGAAGTGGAGCTGTGGCTCAAGTGGTAGAGCATCAGCCTTGAGTGAAAGAGCTCAGGGACAGCGTCCAGGCCCTGAGTTCAAGCCCCAGGACTTACAAAAACAAAAAAGACAAAATTAAATGTCTTTGAGAAGGGGAGGGGAAAGGGAAGAGAGCCAGAGGGAGAGAGTGAGAGAGAGTGAGGAGAGGGAGAGAGAGAGAGAAACAGTATATAATCATAATCCCTAATCTCAACTCAAGTAGTAAAACAAACCACAACAATAACTCTGAGCTCTAAGAGCCCCAGGCATGTTTGACCTTCAAACTTTAAAATGGCCTCAAGAAAAATATATACCTAAGAGATAAGCCGGGCCACAGGCTTCAAGGAGGCCCTATTGTTACCCTGAGTTACTGATTAACTTCCCAGTGTGGTCAGGGCCCGGTTCTTTCCAACCCCAGCTCAGGAAAGGGTCCTGGCTCCTGAGGACCACTCCTAGCACCCCTAGCACCCCAAGCTCGGGCTAGCTGAGTCTCATCACCAGGCTGCTGCTGGATTGAACCTATCCTGAAGCTGTCACTCTTGTAAATGACATGGTTCTCGGAGATCACAATGGCCCACTTGTCAGAAGTTCATCCGGCCATCCCTTTGTCTCTTTTTCAGCTCTAAACAAACATGCAGTGGGGTGCGTGGGGTGGTAGAGAATGTTCTAGCATCGCACTATCATGACAGAGGACACTGGGAGGCCTGCTCCTAGCCGGATCTCTCCTCCCTTCTCAGCGAAGCAGAGACCGGGCTGGATGAGCTCACCGCACTCGGTGACCCGGGTACCCCACAGCCCGCCACAGGGGCATCCGTACCTGCACGAATGCAGCTTCTCCCAGACAGGAAAGATAACAAGTGAATTTGCAAGAGAAAGGCCTGGCCGGGAAGGTGGCTCAGTGGTAGAGCGCTCACCTAGCATGCACGAAGCCCCGGGTTCGATTCCTCAGTACCACATACACAGAAAAAGCCAGAAGTGGCACTGTGGCTCAAGTGGTAGAGTGCTAGCCTGGAGCTAAAGAAGCCAGGGACAGCACCCAGGCCCTGAGTTCAAGCCCCAGGACTGGGGAACAAAAGGGGGGGGGGGAGGGAGAGAGGGGGAGAGAGAAACAAAGAGAAAGGCCTAGAGAAGAGAGGTAGAGAAGACAATCCCGGGCCAGGAGGCCACGCGCCAACCCCTCCACAGCCCCCACTGTGTGCCCACAAGAGAACTCAGGGTGAACACATTCACCCTTCATCACAGCCCAAAGGCAGAGTCTCCTGCCAGGCGCCAGCGGCTCACGCCTGTAGTCCCGGCTACTCCAGAGGCTGAGATCATGGTTGAAAAGCTCTTAATTTCTGATGAACCACTGAAAGTCAAAGGTGGAGCTGTGGCTTACGTGATAGAGAGCCAGCCTTGAGAGAAAAAAGTCAAGGACAATGCACAGGTCCGGAGTTCAAGCCCCGGGACCGGCACATGCAAGCATGCGCGCGCGCGCACACACACACACACACACACACACACACACACACACAAATCCTGTGGTTTTATTCTCAGAGAAATCACCCTTAAAGCTGAAAGGAATAGTTTTAAAAGGAAAAAAGAAAGAGAAAGAGAGAGAAGGAAGGAAAGAAGGAAAGAAGGAAGGAAGGAAGGAAGGAAGGAAGGAAGGAAGGAAGGAAGGAAGGAAGGAAGGAAGGAAGGAAGGAAGGAAAGATAAACATAAGGGACATTTCAAGGCCCCTGTGAGGAGCTACTGCCTGACTCTGAGGCCTGCTGTGGAGGCCCGCCGTGGAGGGCCCACCGTGGAGGCCGACCATGGAGGCCAGCCGTGGAGGCCCAATGCTGCTCCTCCTCTCAAAGGAAAGCAACCTCCAGCTCTTAACCTCATTTCCAAACAAACCTCTGAAGACAGATAGCATCAATGTTCTTTGAAAGTTCTAATGAGCCCATGAGGAAAAAGAAACCTGGCCGGAGCCATGAGGCCTGGTAACAGGAACTCAAATTCATGTCGGCCCAGGGCCAGGCAGCGCCAGCCCGCGGTGTCCAGTCCCCAGGCTCCGGCCAGGTTCAGCCAGACCCGCCAGCCCTCCCCACTGCTCCCCATTTTACAGCCATCTGCAAAACAAATGCTTATGAGGGGATGTTGGAAAAAAGGGGATTTTGATAGAACCCCGAATCTTTCCACAGCCTTAGCGTTTAGAATCTACCTGGGCAGAAGAAATACGCTCTTCATGGAATGCAGCAGAGAACCTGCCAGGGAAGTTTTAGGTGAAGGTGAGAGAGAGACACATAACAGAGACAGAGACACACAACAGAGACAGAGACGGACACACAGAGACAGAGACAGAGACACACACACACACACACACAAAGACAGACAGGAAAAAGAGAGGAGAGACAGAAAGATAAAAGGACAGAGAGAACCTGGAGCTGCCGCCTCCTGGACACAGCGGGCACACTTGCCCAAAGCCCAGGTGTCCATCATGTCACCCATCACCGGCACAGGTGTGGATCATGTCACCCATCATGGGCACAGGTGTGGATCATGTCACCCAGCCCTGAACACAGGTGTCCATCATGTCACCCAGCTCTGAGCACAGGTGTCCATCATGTCACCCATCCCTGAGCACAGGTGTGGATCATGTCACCCATCACGGGCACAGGTGTGGATCATGTCACCCAGCCCTGGCACAGGTGTGGATCATGTCATCCAGCTCTGAGCACAGGTGTGGATCATGTCACCCATCACAGGCACAGGTGTGGATCATGTCACCCATCACGGGCACAGGTGTGGATCATGTCACCCATCACGGGCACAGGTGTGGATCATGTCACCCATCACGGGCACAGGTGTGGATCATGTCACCCATCACGGGCACAGGTGTGGATCATGTCACCCAGCTCTGAACACAGGTGTGGATCATGTCACCCAGCCCTGGCACAGGTGTGGATCATGTCATCCAGCTCTGGGCACAGGTGTGGATCCTGTCACCCAGCTCTGAGCACAGGTGTCCATTATGTCACCCATCATGGGCACAGGTGTGGATCCTGTCACCCAGCCCTGAGCACAGATGTCCATCATGTCACCCATCACAGGCACAGGTGTGGATCATGTCATCCAGCTCTGAGCACAGGTGTCCATTATGTCACCCATCATGGGCACAGGTGTGGATCATGTCACCCAGCCCTGGCACAGGTGTCCATTATGTCACCCATCATGGGCACAGGTGTGGATCCTGTCACCCAGCCCTGGCACAGGTGTGGATCATGTCATCCAGCTCTGAGCACAGGTGTGGATCATGTCACCCAGCCCTGAGCACAGGTGTCGATCCTGTCACCCTGACTGATCAGACACGGTGTCTGATCGATCGGGCACGGGCGCCGGTCCGTCCCCTCCCGCCCCAGCACCTCGGCGCTCGGGCCGGCCGGGTCCATCGGGTTCCCGGGCAGCGCGGAGCAGGCTGGGCCCGGCGCTGCTCCGCGGCCGCGGGGCCCGGCGATGACACGCCGGCCCGGCCGTCGTCACTGACAGCGCCGCCGCCATCACCCCGGGCCCACCGCCGCCGGTCCCGCCCCGCCCCGCGCCCCCCGCGCGGGTCCTCGCCGCCCCGGCCCGGTGGGGCGTGGGCCGGCGCCCAGGCCCGGCGGGGCGGGAGGCGCCGCGCGGCGACCCTTGCTTACCCGGCAGCTTGAGCGCCCGGGACAGCACCGTCGCCATGGTGGAGGCCCCGGTGCGCCTGCGCGCGCCGCGGGAGACAGAGCCCGCGCGGGGCGGGGCCTCGTGGGGCGGAGTCAGGAGAGATGGGAGGCGTGGGGCAGAGCTGCGCGGGGCGGGGCCGAGCCGCACGGGGCGGAGCCAAGGAGGATGGGAGGGGCGGGGCTGAGCCGCACGGGGCGGAGCCAGAAAGGATGGGTGGGGTGGGGCCGAGCCGCACAGGGTGGAGCCAGGAGGGATGGAGGGGCGTGGCCAAGCCGCACGGACAAGCTAGGGGTATGGGGGCGGGGCCTAGCCACGTGGGGTGGCCAGGAGGGATGGGAGGGGCGGGGCCGAGCCGCGTGGGGCAGGGCCAGGAGGGATGGGAGGGGCGGGGCCGAGCCGCGTGGGGCAGGGCCAGGAGGGGGAGGAGGGGCGGGGCCAGGAGAGATGGGAGGGGCCGAGCTATCTGAGGCAGGACTTTTAGGGGCGGGGCCGAGTTTCCTGAGGCAGGGCCTCGAGGGAAGAGGGCCAAGCCTCACGGGGCGGGCGTGGTCTTGAGGGCGTGGCCTGGTCGGGCGGGGCGGGGCCTACGGAGAGGCCGCCTTGGGGCTAGCAGGTGCAGGCAGGTACTGGGGGGTGGGGGGAGACTCTGTAGCCAGAGACCTGCATTGGCTTTTTAGGTGTTTTTTGCTTTTGTGCCAGTCCGCTTTTGCTTTCATGACTGGTGCTGTACCGCTGGAGACTTGCCTTCCGTTCCAGCTTGTTCCCTCCCTGCCCCCGCCCCCCCGCGACTATAAATAAGCCTCACGGGCTTTCCGCTCCTGGGCTGGTCTCCACCTCGATCCTCAGATCGCAGCCTCCTGAGTCGCCGGGATGGCCCCCGAGTCTGTGCCCGGCGGCTGGCCGGTCCGCTGCCGTGCTCGGCGCGGTGATGAACGCGGCCGTGCGGGTTTCCTGCGTCTGCGAGCCCGGGAGCGGGAGCGCAGGACCCTGCCCGGGTCCGCTGCGAGTCTCCGCGCGGACTTGACTTCCCCCGGCCGGGTGGGAGGGATCCCCGGGTTGCACGGACGGAGCGGCTCCTTCCAAGAAGATGCGCGCCGCCTCCCGGCCCTCCTCCCCTCCCTTTCCCTCGACGGCGCAACGCACCCGGGGCGGGGGCCGCGCTTCTGGGAACGAGGCCGTGTCTGATTGGCGGGCGGCCCGGCCCGGCTCCGGGGTCGCGCGGTCAGACCCCGGAAACCCCTCCTGGCCGGGAACACCGTTGCATAACAGTCTTTATTCCCCAGGCCTGGAGACTCGCGGGAGCCCGCCTCCAGCGGCTCCGGCTGCAGACGCGTTCTCCTGGAGCGGCTGGGCCGGGCGCTCGGGTGGACTGCGCCCAGAATCCCCAGTTCAAGCCCCAGGCGGCGGGGCGCTGGTCAGACTTCCCACGGTCCCGACCGGGCTAGGGGCGGGGCCGGCCCCGCTCGGCCACGCCCTCGGTGGGCGGAGCTTTATCTGGCCCCGCCCCAGCCCCTCCAAGAGCTTCCGCCTCGGCGCTCCCTCTGCGGTGAGCGGAGCCTAAGGAGGCCCCGCCCCGCTGCACCGAGAGCTTCCGCCTCTGCCACTTCCCAAAGGGATGCTCCGGTGGGCGGAGCCTACAGAAGCCACGCCTCTACCACCTCTCTGAGCCTCTCGGGTGAGAGGACCCACCGGATGCCACGCCCCCGGTTCAGGCCCCGCCCATGCGAGGGCGTGGTCTCCGAGGCAGCCCCCGTTCCCCGCCGCCGAGGCCGCTCAGAGCTCTGCAGACCCCGGGCCCGCCCCACGCCCGCGTCCTGCGGCGACATGTTGGGCCTCATCCGGAACTCGCTGTTCGGGAGCGTGGAGACGTGGCCGTGGCAGGTCCTGAGCACGGGAAGCAAGGTCGGTCCGCGAGGGGCGGCAAACCCCGAAACGTGTGCCCTGGGCCTGGAGGGCAGGGAGGGGGCGGGCAGGAAGAGTTGGGGGGCCTGGGGCCCTGCATCGCCCCCGCTCTCCGGGTCACGTGGTCGCCAAATGATGAGCGGGAGCCCGGGCCAAGGGTGTGGGGTGCAGGGCTCGGGTGCGGGGTGGGGCAGGGGCCACTACCCTGTCCAGCGCTGCCCACTTCCATGCGCCCCTCACCCAAGGCGAGGCGGGCGCTGACCCCAGCCTGGACCCCACCTCCCAGACGCCTGGACTCCAGGCGTGAGCCCCAGGCCATGGTGCGGGTGGGAGATGGCCTGCGGAAGGTCAGGCTTCCACGACAGGGTCACCCGGGGCGGTGGGCCGGCCTGTGGGTTTCCGAAGCCTGTTGCGTCCGGCTCGCACTGACCCTCGTCCTGCTGAGCCAGCAGCTGCTGTCAGCTTATCTGGAGTTCCTTGACACCCCAGCCAGCTCACCCCATCTCTCCTCCCCAGAGGGGGAAGCAGTGCCTTGAACACTCACTTTTAGGGAGGAACCGGGGAGCCTGACCTCACATGGAGCAGAATCCACCCCCTGGCCGTGTTAGTTTGCACGTATTTGCACAACCTGGGCCAGTTTGATAAGACTACTGGCATTTCCTATCAGCCCTGCCCCTCTCCACCCGTCCAGCCCTGTCCCTAGCCAGGGAGCAGGCACCGAGGCCTGAACACCGAGCACTGTCCATCTGCTAAGGACTACAGGGGTTTGGGACCTGAGATTCTTTCCAGGATGAGAGGAAGTCTGCCCAGAGACACAGCTGGCTACTTGAGGGAGGAGCTGGCTTTCTTTTTCTTTTCTTTTCTTTTTCTTTTTTTTTTTTTTCCTGTCTGTTGTAAGGCTTGAACTCAGGGCCTGGGCATTGTCCTTGAGTTCTTCAGCTCAAGGCTAGGGCTCTACCCCTCTACTCTCACAGCGCCACTTCTGGCTTTTTCCTCTGTGTGTGGTACTGAGGACTTGAACCCGGGGCTTGCAGGCTAGTTAAGCACTCTACCATTGAGCCACCTCCCCAGCTAAGGAGGAGCTGGTTTGCGATCGGATCCACGGGCAGATTGCTGCCTGCAAAGCCCAGCCTCCCAGTGGACAGGCCTTCACCCCTTCTCTCCCATGGTGGCTCCCCTTCTCCAGGAGGAGCTGTCCTATGAGGAGCGGGCCTGCGAAGGCGGGAAGTTCGCCACGGTGGAGGTGACGGAGAAGTCGGTGGACGAGGCACTCCGGGAGGCCATGCCTAAGGTCATGAAGTATGTGGGCGGCTCCAATGACCGGGGTGAGTACCTGGGGACCCCCTTACCCCCAGAGGACAGGGCAGGTCTCAGGGTCGAGTTCCGCCCCATCTCATACCAAGGCAGCTGGAACTCCCCGTTCCTGAATCCCACCTCCTTCCTGCACCCCATCTACGAAGCTCCGCGGCGGCCGCTCTTCACCCTGATGGGTGTTTGCTTGTCACCCGTTATTTGTAGGATGGGGTCTCACTTCCTGCCCGGGGGGGCGCAGGGGTGAGGCTGGGGGGGGTGGCCTCTCCAGGAGACATGGAGGTGGGGGACAAGAGAGCACTGTCAGGCCGTGGCCGGGGACCCAAGCCCGAGCAAGGTCTAAAGGAGCCAGGACATCCCTTCAATGGGAAACATGGGAGTTGGAGGCGTGACTCAGTTGGTAGATCGCCAGCCAGTGAGCAAAGTGTCACTGCTGCCACCTTCTGTGCAAATACAGCAGGCATTTGCATGTGGCTCAGCTGTAGATGTTTATTTTGCCAGTCCTGGGCCTGGGCGCTGTCCCTGAGCCTCTCTGTGCTCAAGGCTGGCGCTCCACCACTTGAGCCACGGCACGACTTCCAGCTTTTTCTGAGTAGTTTATTGGACATAAGAGTCTCACAGACTTTCCTGCCCATGGCTGGCTTTGAACTGCGATCCTCAGATCTCAGCCTCCTGAGTAGCTGGGATGACAGGCGGGAGCCACCAGCACTCAGTAACTGTAGATTGTGTGTGTGTGTGTGTGTGTGTGTGTGTGTGTGTGTGTGTGTGTGTGTGTCTCGCAAGCATGCATGCACATGCACGCTTAAAATTTTGTAATTTCATTAAAATATATATGTATATATACATATATATGTGTGTGTGTATATATATATAAAACCATGGGGCAGAGTGCCGCGGTGACACATGCCTGTAATCCCAGCTACTTGAGAGTTGGAGAGGACAGGGCAAAGTTGGTGAGACCCCCCAACTCGACAAACAAGCAGGTGGGGGTGGATCCCTTCTGTGAGAGGCCCAAGTAGGAGGATTGGTGTCTGAGGCTGTCCAGGCAGGGAGAGGGGGACCCTGTAGCACCCAAGGGGCTGGTCAGAGCCAGCTGGGCGCTGGTGGCTCACGCCTGTAATCCTAGCTACTCAGAAAGTTGAGATCTGAGGATCTGGGGTTCAAAGCCAACCTGGGCAGGAAAGTCCATGAAACTCTTTTTTTTTTTTTTTTTTTTTTTTCTGTAATCACTCATTTTATTTTTATTTTCCATGAAACTCTTATCTCCAATAAACTACCAGAAAACTGGAAGTGACGCTGTAGCTCAAATGGTAGAGTGCTCACCTTGAGCTGAAGAGCGCAGGGACAGCGCCCAGGCCCAGAGTTCAAGCTCCACAACCGACCAAAAAAAAAAAAAAAAGTGTCAGAGCCCTTGCCCTGCCCGCATGAGGCCCCAAGTCAAACCCAGTGCTGCCGTGATTTAAATAAAAATGTTCCGGTAGAGAAGTGGCGCTGTAGCTCAAGTGGTAGAACACTAGCCTTGAGCTGAAGAGCTGAGGGACAGTGCTCAAGCCCAAAGTTCAAGCCCATGACTGACAAAAAAAAAAAAAAAAGCATAAATTATACCTTACTGCATTGTTGGTGGGAGTGTAAACTTGTTAACCACTTTGGAAAGTAGTATGGAGGTTCCTCAAAAGACTCCACATAGAGTTCCCCTATGACCCAGCAATCCCACTTTTGAGGCATTTACCCAAATGATCACAAACAAGACCACACTAAAGCTACCAGCATGACTATGTTTATAGCTAAGATATGGAACCAACCCAGATGCCCCTCAGTAGATGAATGGATCAAGAAAATGTGGTATATATACACAATGGAATTCTATGCCTCCATCAGAAAGAATGACATTGCCCCATTTGTTAGGAAATGGAAAGACTTGGAAAATTTTATATTAAGTGAAGTAAGCCAGGCCCAAAGAAACGTAGGTCCCATGGTTTCCCTTATTTGCAATATCTAGTATATGTCTGAGTCAAGTAGAAAAGGTCAGATAAGGTGATGTTAGGGAAACGAACCCTAAGATATGTATTCAAAATTTTTTTTCTTTCATGCGATTGTTTCTAACACATTTATAAGTTTATTTCTTTGTTGCTTTGTATGTCTCTCCCCCACGGTATAACCCCTGCTTTCACTGTATTTGATGTTGGTATAATTTGTGGAGGGGAAGGGGAAAAACAAATCTTTTAAATAGGGATACAGGTGGACTCATTGCAACAATGAGATGTACAAGGCGTTATGTCGAATACGAACTTTACAACTTTGGTGGGGGGGGGGGGTTGCGGGGAGGATCGGGTGGGGGGGGACGGGGGGAGGATGGGAAGGGATGGGAAGGGGAAACAAAGGAGGCTACAATGCTTGATAAGAAATGTACTCATTATCTTGCCCATGTAATTGTAACCCCTCTGTACAGTATTTTCACAATAAAAAAATTAATTTTTTTTAAAAATGTTCCAGTAGGACAAAGACGAGTAAGTGCTCCACCACCCTGAGCCAGCCTTACCTGAAGGCCGCCTCCTTTTCTGTGTGTTCCCAGGGATCGGAATGGGGATGACGGTTCCCATCTCTTTTGCTGTCTTCCCCACGGACGACGGCTCCCTGCAGAAGAGACTGAAAGTCTGGTTCCGGATTCCCAACCAGTTCCAAAGTGACCCGCCGGCCCCGAGCGACGAGGCGGTGAGGATCGAGGAGAGAGAGGGCATCACTGTCTACTCCACGTAAGGACAGGGTGCTGGGGGGCCGGGCGTGGGTCCCCCACAGCCCTCCTGGGCCTCTCCACCAGCCTTGGCCTTGTGTTTTATTATTGAATTAGCTCAGAGAAGCCAGGCGCTGGGTGGCTCACACCTGTCATCCCAGCAACTAAGGAGGCTAAGATCTGAGGATCACGGTTCAAAGCAGGAGAGTCTGTGAGACTCTTATCTCCAGTGAACCACCAGAAAACCGAAAGTGGAGCTGTGGCTCAAGTGATAGAGTGTCAGCTTTGAGTGAAAAAACTCTGGGGCTGGGAAGGTGGCTCAGTGGTAGAGTGCTCGCCTAGCATGCAGGAAGCCCTGGGTTCGATTCCTCAGTCCCCCATACACAGAAAAAGCCGGGAGTGGCACTGTGGCTCAATGGGAGAGTGCTAGCCTTGAGTGAAAGAAGCTCAGGGACAGCGCCCAGGCCCTGAGTTCAAGCTCCATCACAGACACACACACACACACACACACACACACACACACACACACACAGATCTTCAGGGCCCACCCGTGTGCCCACCTCGCAGTAGAAGGCAGAGGCATGGGTTGTGGCCAAGGGTTTGGTGGACTGTTTAGGCCATGCTGGGGCTTGAACCCCAGAGCACCCCCGGGAGTCCCCGCTTCCATCCCTGGGGCCCCTGTGTCCCCCGCCCACAGGCTTGGGCGAGGCCTGGGTCTCCCTGCTTTGTGGCTTGGATTCTCACCTCTCAGGACTGTTCCTCCTGTGGCCACTGGGGGTCGCTGCACACCTCAGAACGCAGGCCATGGGTGGAAGGGCCTGGGGTTCTGATGAGGTCCAGCCCTGTGTGGCGGGTCCTCCCAGCCTCAGTTTCCCCGTCTGCAGCATGGGGTGGGAAGTCCTGCTGGGAGGGGCGGTGCAGGGGCAGCTGGGGGGGGGGAGGTCCAGAAGAGAGAGCTCATCCTCTGTGCATCCATGGTTCCTGAGGGAGGGGGAGGAGGGGGGAGGGAGGGCAGGCTGGTCCTTCCAGCATCTTCCTCCTCTGCTCACACACCTTCTGCCAGCTCAGCTTCACTGAAGCCCTGGCCCACTTTCTCCCCTCTTCCTCCCCCAGCCCCACTTCCTCCCCTCGGCCTTAGGAGCTCATGGACTGGAGGAGGCAGTTGGCATCTGCCCCCCCCCTGCGTGTTTGTGGAGTGGTTGCCACCCAGCTGGGGGCGGGCCCTGGCACTGGAGGGATGCCCCACTGTCTGGGCTTCCCCCCACCCCCGTCCCCCCCGGCCCTGGTGGGAAGCCCCAGTATCTGTGCTTGGTGGCTGTGCAGGCTGGGCACCAGCTTGCCCTTGAGACTCTTCTCTCCAATGCACCACCAAAAACCCAGAAGGGAAGCTGTGGCTCAAGTGGTAGAGCACCAAGCCTTGAGGGGAAAAGGCTCAGGGACAGCGCCCAGGCCCTGAGTTCGAGGCCCAGGGGTGTATGCACGCGTACACGTGACCCCTGGAGGAGGGAGCAGATGGGGCCGCAGCCCCGGCCCCGCTCACCTCTGTCTCTGCTGTGTGCACAGGCAGTTCGGCGGCTACGCCAAGGAGGCGGACTACGTGGCGCACGCTGGCCAGCTGCGGGCGGCCCTGGAGGGCCGGGTCACGTGCCTGGGTGACGTGTACTTCTGTGCCGGCTATGACCCGCCCATGAAGCCCTACGGCCGCCGCAACGAGGTCTGGCTGCTGCGGGCCTGAGAGCCCCGGCTGGGCCTCCGTGACCCCTGACCTCTGTGACCCCTGACCCCCGCCGTGGACCTCTGACACCCAACCTCCACCATAGATCTCTGTGACCCCTGACTTCCACCGTGGATCCCTGACCCCTGACCCTTGTCCTTCAGAGCTGATGCCTGTGTTTTTCTGGGCTGGAAATGGCCAAGCAAGAAAATCACGTGGCTGCTGGTGGCTCACGCCTGTCATCCCAGCTGCTCAGGAGGCTGAGATCTGAGGATCGAGGTTCAAAGCCAGCCCGGGCAGGAAAGTTGGTGAAACTCCTATCTCCAATGAGCCACTAGAAAACCAGAAGTGGTGCTGTGGCTTAAGTGCTAGAGCGCTCTCCTTGAGTTGAAGAGCTGAGGGACAGCGCCCAAGCCCAGAGTTCAAGTCCCACAACCGACCAAAAAAAAAAAAAAAGAAAGTCCTGTGGTACGCCAGCAGCCTTTCCTTATCCATCCGGGTGGCAGAACTGCTGGTTTTCTCATTACTAGATGGTATTTGTGTGAGCACGCCGGCCCTGGGGCTTGAACTCAGGGCCTAGGTGGGCTGGCACTCTGCCACTCGAGCCACAGCTTCACGTCGGGCTTTTTGGCGGTTCGTTGGGGGTGAGTCTCCGGGCTTCCCCGCCGGGGCTGGCTGTGTAGGATCATGGTTTTGATGGTGAAACGTGATTTGCGCCCAGCCCTCACTGCCAACTTCCAAGAAATCGTGAAATCTGTTGTCTTCAAAATAAAAGCCTGTGCCTTCCAGACTCGATTGTCCCGGATGTGGGGTCTTAGAGAGGATCTACAGGGGATCCAGGGGGATCCAGGGTCCTCATTGGAGGATGGAACCGGGAGGGCTCCTTACCAGACCACGGCCGTGTTCCTCGCCCACAGCTGCAGGGTTGGGGGGGAGGGGGATAATTCCACGGAGCTGGTCCGTGCACAGCAGCCGGTCGCTTGTTTAAGGAAGAGCCCTGCGGTTTACACTGGCTTCTCCACTCCCCACAGAGTGGCTTTGATCTGGAGGGCCATCATTAAAGGTTCCTGGCAGGCCGCCGCCATGGGTGTGTGTATGCTTGAATGTCATGAATTTGACCTTTGAATTTATTTTTCTGACTAGCCTTGGGCTTTTCCCGGAGACTGGAATCCTGTTTATTTGGTGGTAGTGGTGGTGGTGGTTCTGGGGCTTTGAACTCAAGAGCCTGGCCTGCTGTCCCTGAGCTTTGTTGCTCCAGGCTGGTGCTCTTCCACTTGAGCCACAGCCCTGCTCTGGCTTTTTGCTAGTTCACTGATGGTGAGTGTCTCGGCCTTTCCCGCCTTGACTGTGATCCTTGAACTGTGAGCCTCAGATCTCAGCCTCCTGAGCAGCTGGGGTGATGGGTGTGAGCCATGAACACAAGGTCTGTTTCCATTTTGTGCGTATGCATTTTGGGGAGGTGGCGCTGGGATTTGAACCCAAGGTGTTATTTGGGATGGGGGCGCTCAGCATCCCCTCTCCCCCACCTCCACCCAGGCTTAGGAGTGGTTTTCTCAGCAAGCGCTCAGGTGCGTAGATGTGTGGGGAGGGAGCCCCAGCACCATTGTGTATAAGAGATTCCGTTCAGACACCATGGAAGGATGGGGCACCTCAAAAAGAAAGCTACAGGCCGGGCGCCAGTAGCTCATGCCTGTAATCCTGGCTACTCGGGAGGTTGAGATTTGAGGATCGTGGTTTGAAGCCAGCCCTGGCAGGAAAAGTCCAATGAGACTCTTCTTTCCCAATAAACGACCAAAAAGCTGGAATCAGAGCTGTGGTTCAAGTGGTAGAGCAACAGCGTCAAGCACAAAAGCTCAGGCAGGGACAGCGCCCAGGCCGTGAGTTCAGGCCCCAGGACCAGCACAAACTAAAAAAAAAGTAAGAAGGAACAGAATGGGGCTCGTGGTCCCTGGGCGGGTGGGAAGGCTGGAGGAGGAGGAAGACTACCAAGCCTCATCCCTCTCCAGAGTGGTTTGTGGGGACACTTCTACACCCCCTGTGTAGCCCAAAGCCAGCGTGTTCACCCGGAGATGCCGGCGCCCCTCCTTCCCCGGCCCTTCGCCAGCTCTGTATCGGCACCTGCCAAACACAGCTCACAGCCTGGGGTCTACAACCCAGGTTTCCGTCCCCTGCGCGGTTGCGGGGCCTGGGCTTGGCCGCGCCGCCTCCCGGGTCCCATGTTGGCATGCGGAGGAGTCTATCAGGGCCTCTGGGCTGTTTTATCTCCATCTTTCATGAACCACCCATCACCGATGCATGTTTTTGATTCATCAAAGATGCCCTGTGCTGTATGTCCCCGCAGCCACGCAGGGGTGAGTCACGGGGGGGGGGGGGGGGGCAGGGGGAGGTATCTGCAAGACGGGTGAATTCTGTCACCCTGACTTTACAATAGCGATAATTAGTACCTAAGCCCAGGCCCTTTTATCTCAGGTGCTCAGAGGCTTGCGAGTCGTTAGCCGGTTAATTTGCCCGCCTCAAGCTGTAGCAAAGTCAGAGGTCAAGGGCGAGGCTGGTGACTAACACAGTTGGGGCTGGGGGGGGGAGGGGGAGGGGGAGGGGGAGGAAGGCCACCCAACCCATCCTTGGAGGAGAAAGAATTCCACCACTGGCTAGGCTGTGTGTGTGTGTGTGTGTGTGTGTGTGTGTGTGTGCCCGCGCACGCATGTGTGTCTAGGACCAGGACTCAAACTCGCCCTCTAATACCTTTCATTCATTGGCTGACGCTCCACCCCCCGAGCCACGCCTCCCAACCAAACGCACACAGAGAACCTGGAATCCTCCAAAAACAAAATCTAGCCAGGTGCTGGCGGCTCACACCCATCATCCCAGCTACTCAGGAGATCTGAGGATCGTGGTTCAAAACCACCCCAGAGAAGGAAAGTCTGTGAGACCAGAAGTAGAGATTGGCCCAAGTGGTAGAGCACCAGCCTGGAGCAAAAGAAGCTCAGAGACAGCGTACAGGCCCTGAGTTCAAACTGCAAGACTAGCACCCAAAATAAGTGGAATCCGACCTGTAACCTATAAACCTAATCAAGGAGATAAGATCCAAGCTCATGAAACACATTAATAAATCTCTTTTCCATTATTGCCCGTTTCTATTTATTGTTTATTACTCAATGCCATGGGTAGATTAACAAATAGCCTAAGTAGAAAAATTGGATTTTTCATCAGGCACTGGTGTCTCACGCCTGTCACCCCAGCTACTCAGGGGGCTGAGATCTGAAGATCAGGGTTCAAAGGCAGCCCAGGCAGCAAAGCCCATGAGACTCTCATCTCCAATGATCCAGCAGAAAACTGGAAGTGGCGCTGTGGTTCAAGTGGTAGAGTGCCAGCCTGAAGTGAAAGAGCCCAGGGACAGCACCCGGGCCCCGAGTTCAAGTCCTAAGACCAGCAAAAAAAGGAAGAGAAAGAGGGAAAACAGGAGGAGGAAGGAGAGAAGAGGATCTCATATTCATTAAAAGAACCGAGGAGGAGCTGGTGGCTAGGGGCACGGCAGGCCGCACGCATCATCCATCCAGCGCCTCCTGGGCCTGGGAACAAACAGGAAGCCTGCTCCAATGTCCAGCGACAGCCTTGGACAGCGCAGTGCTGGGACTCTTGTCCAGCCCGCCCAGCCAGACATCTCGAGGAAGGGTTTCCCAAGGCAAAACAGAATAGGGAAAGCCAGTCCTGTGTGTGATCCTTCCTTCCTGCTCAGCAGAGCTCAGCTGACTTTGTTGGAAGGCATCCTCCTGAACCTTAGAACTCAAACATGAGGAAGTCTCTGGAAATGTGTGTGTGTGTGTGTGTGTGTGTGTGTGTGTGTGATACACACACGCATGCCAGTCCTGCAGCTTGAACTCGGGGCCTGGGCGCCGTCCCTGAGCTGTTAGTTCACTCAAGGCTGGCGCTCTACCACTTGAGCCACAGCTCCACCTCTGCCTTTTTGGTAGTCCATTGGAGATAAGGATCTCACAGGGTGTCCTTCCCCCCGGGCTGGTTTTGAACCACAATCCTCAGATCTCAGGCTCCTGGGTAGCCGGGATGACAGGCGTGAGCCACCGTGCCCGGCTTAAAATGGGACCACTGGTTTGGGCCTCTTGTAGCTTGAATTGAACTCTATGGGTGGAGACACACCCTGAAGCTCACACACACATGCACACAGGTGTGTGTGCGCACACACACACACACACACACACACACACACACACGGGTCAACAGGAGAATGAGAAATCCCCGTTTTCACCCCGAAACGCAGCCATGGCCGAAGAATCGGGCTAGGCGTGTCCCTCGGCCCCTCCGGGCGTTTTTATAGGCCGGGCCGGGTCTGGGTGAGGCTGGCACCGCTTCCGCCCATTTGGGCAGAGATTAAAGAAGGGGAGTCACGGCTCGTCGCTCACTCACACTGAGCAGCCTCCGCCTCGCGTGGACACAGGTGAGTCGGGATGCCGGCCTTGCCAGCTCCCAGGCAGGGGCCGCCGACCCAGGGCGCAGGGGTCAGGAAGGCCAGGGGAGGGGGGCCGGCATGCGGCTCTGGGTGCTGATTTGGGGTTACCCAAGGCAGGGGGGACGGGGTGGCCAGGCCGGCTGGACTCCAGGCTGCCCCTCTGGGTGCTGAGGGTCATTTAATGCCTGCCACCCGAGCTTCCTGAATACACAATGCCGTGAGTTTGCCTTCCGAGGAGAAAATCAGGTGGGAAAACGGGTAAACTTCCAGCCCCTCTGACAAGTTGGGGTCACCTGTAATGCCAGTTCCCCTCTCTGAGGGCCACCTGTATGCGTCTCTGGTTTTCTTAGCCCCCTAAGGAAGCGTGGTATTTAAACAGGTATCAGAGCCGGGCACTGGTGCTCACGCCTGTCGTCCCAGCTACTCAGGAGGCTGAGCTCAGAGGATCAGGGTTGAGCCCGGGTGGGAAAGTCCGTGAGACTCTGATCTCCAAGGAACCACAACCAGCCAGACCTAGAACTGTGGCTCAAGTGGTAGAGCGCCAGCCTTGAGCACAAAGGCTCAGCGACAGAGCCCAGGCCCTGAGTTCAAGCCCCAGGACTGGGACAAATAAATAGGTATTGCCAGGCACTAGTGGCTCAGGCCTGTCATCCTAGTTACTCAGGAGGCTGAGAGCTGAGGAGCTCAGTTCAAAGCCAGCCTGGACAAGAAAGTCCATATGATTTATCTCCAAGAAACTATAAAAAGCCATAAGTTGGGGCTGAGAAGGTGGCTCAGTGGTAGAGTGCTCGCCTAGCATGTGTGAAGACCTGGGTTCGATTCCTCAACACCACATACACAGGAAAAAGCCAGAAGTAGAGCTGTGGTTCAAGTGGTAGAGCATTAGCTTTGAGCAAAAGCATCTCAGGGACAGCGCCCAGGCTCTGAGTTCAAGCCCCAGGACTGGCACCAAGTAAATATCAGAAGTCAAACAAAGCTGGGTGCCAGTAGCTCACATCTGGCATCCCAGCAATTCAGGAGATCTGAGGATCGTGGTTCAAAGCCAGCCCGGGCATGAAAATCCATGAGACTCTGATCTCCAATGAACCACTAGAAAACCAGAAGGAGCGCTGTGGCTCAAGTGGTAGAGCACCAGCCCTGAGCGAAAGAGCTCAGCGACAGCGCCCAGGCCCTGAGTTCAAGGCCCAGGACTGGCACCAAATCAACCTCAAGAGTTAAAGAAGAAAGCAGGATGTGCGTCTGCCACAGTGTCCCGGGGGCATCCGATCCTTTGAGATGCGGGCGTCTCCATCCAGGTTGGGAGAAGAGCTGATGCTCAGGCCCTGGGCACACACACCCCACCCCAGGCCGCACCAGGCCCCCCTGGACTCGGGCTGGGCCTTATCCCGCCCATCTGTTTTACGCAGGGAACCGGAGCGCGCCCCACCCGTCGGCCGCCATGTTCGAGGACTGCGTGAAGTCCGCTGAGGAGCACTACCTGTTCTGTGACGATGAGGGGCCCTGGGCCGTGGTCCTGGAGTCCCTGGCGGCCATCGGCATCGTGGTGACCATCCTGCTCCTCCTGGCCGTCCTGTTCCTGCTGCGGCGCGTGCAGGAGTGCGCGCGCTGGAACGTGCTCCCCACGCAGTTCCTCTTCCTGCTGGGGGTGCTGGGCCTCTTCGGCCTGGCCTTCGCCTTCATCCTGCCGCTCAGCCACCGCACGGCGCCCGTCCGCTTCTTCCTCTTCGGCGTCCTCTTCGCGCTCTGCTTCTCCTGCCTCTTGGCCCACGCGTCCAACCTGGTGCGCATGGCGCGCAGCTGCGGCTCCTTCTCCTGGCCCACGCTGCTGGCCATCGCCGTGGGGCTGAGCCTGCTGCAGACGGTGCTGGCCATCGAGTACGTGACCCTGGTGACCACGCGCGGCCCCACCTTCGAGCGCATGACCCCCGAGCAGCTCAACGTGGACTTCGTGGCGCTCACGGTCTACGTGCTGCTGCTCCTGGCGCTCACGCTCTTCGTGGCCAAGGCGGCCTTCTGCGGGCCGTGTGAGCGCTGGCGGCGGCCCGGCCGGCTCATCTTCACCACGGCGCTCGTGTCTGCCGTCATCTGGGCCACCTGGATCGCCATGCTCACCCGGGGGAACCCGCAGCTGCAGCGGCAGCCGCACTGGGACGATGCTGTCGTCTGCATCGGCCTGGTCACCAATGCCTGGGCCTTCCTCTTCATCTACATCATCCCCGAGCTCTGCCTGCTCTACCGCGCCTGCCGCCAGGACGGCCCCGCACCGGCTCACGCCTGCCCCGCCCCGGTCTACCAGCGCGGCCTGCGGATGGATAACCAGGAGCTATCCCGAGGTAATGAGGCCCCCCCCACCCCCGGGATTGAGGGAAGAAAGGCGGGCAGAGACCAGAGAGAAAACACAGGACAGCAGGATGGGCTACAAAGGAAGGGTCAGCTTTGGAGGAACTTCATGGTTCAAGCTGGGAGCCGGGCACTGGTGGGCACAGCTATAATCCCAGCTACTTTGGAAGCTGAGGACCAACATTCAAAGTCAGGCTGGTGGGAAAGTGCTGGAGACTCTGATCTCCAATGGACCATTAAAAAATAATAATAATGGGCTGGGCAGGTGGCTCAGTGGTAGAGTGCTTGCCTCGCATGCATGAGGCCCTGGGTTTGATTCCTCAGTATCACATAAGCAGAAAAAGCTGGAAGTGGTGCTGTGGCTCAAGTGGTAGATGCTAGCCTTGAGCTGAAGAGCTGAGGGACAGCACCCAGGCCCAGAGTTCAGGCCCCACGACCGACACACAACAACATAATAATAATAATTAGGGGCTGGGAAGGTGGCTCAGTGGTAGTGCGCTTGCCTTGCATGCATGAGGCCCTGGGTTCAATTCCTCAGCACCACATAAGCAAAAAGAAAAAAGCCAGAAGTGGTGCTGTGGCTCAAGTGGTAGAGCACTAGCCTTGAGCTGAAGAGCTGAGGGACAGCGCCCAGGCCCAGAGTTCAGGCCCCCCCCCCAAAAAAATAATAATAATAATAATGGGCTGGGAAGGTGGCTCAGTGGTAGAGTGCTTGCCTCATATGCATGAGTTCCTGGGTTCGATTCCTCAGCACCAAATACACAGAAAAAGCCAGAAGTGGCACTGTGGTTCAAATGGTAGAATGCTAAGTCTTGAACAAAAGCAGCTCAGGGACAGCGCCCAGGTCCTGAGCTCAAGCCCCAGGACTGGCAAAATAAATTAAGGTGGAAGTGGAGCTGTGGTTCAAGTGGTAGAGCATGAGCCTTGAGGAAAAATAAAACAACTCAGGGACAGTACCCAGGCCCTGAGTTCAAAGCCCCAGAACCAGCACACACACACACACACACACACACACACACACACACACACACACACACACACACGCACGCACAGAATGAAGGTTAAATTTTTATGAATAAATAAATGACATTTTCCAAAGCACAGAAGCTTTATGGAGAAAAGCCAAGAAAGAAATGAGTCAAAGGCCCCGAATAAATAAGACGTGGCTTCTAAAGTGCTCGAACTACCCTCCCCCCCCAAAAAAAGAGGCACCCACAAAATAATGAGCCTAACCCAGCCCCAAATTAGGCTTGGCCTGTCCAGTCATCGGACATCAAAGACCAGCCCGGGTGTCTCTGCTGGGCCTTGGAGCCCAAAAGCCAAAGACTTTTGGAGTCTCCAAGCTAATTTAAGCGAGCATCGCTTTAAACCAGCTTGCGAGAGTCTGACCTCCAACAGAGGTCACAGCCCGCCACCCCCAGCTCTGCTTCGCAGGGGATTTGCTTGCTGTTGGCAATCTTGCTTGAGGTTTTAAATGACAAGCAACCCCCTCATCTAAATTCCCAGAGAAAGCCCCGGCCTGTGGGATGATGGAGACTCCCAAGGCAACGCAGCCCACGCGTGCGTGGGAATTTCCAGGTCACACCTTTGTCCACGAGGAATTCCACACCAACCTGGCTCTATTTTGCTCGGGAATGTCTTATTCGTGGACACAGACACTGGGGCCTCCCTTCCCCCGCCCGCACCTTGCAAACCGGGTGAAATCAGTTCATTTCAGTTATCTGGGAATATGTCAGACCTCATTAACACATTTTCTGAACCCCCTCCTGGATTATCCTCAGGCCAGCGTGGTAGTTTATGTTTTTTTCAGGGTCTGTAACAGGCAAACGATGTCTCGCATTTTAGCGTTGCTGTGTAATGGCGATGTTCTTTTATTTATATTTTTTTCAATAATTCTTTCTCTTTAATTTTTTTGGTTTCTGTATGTGGTGCTGAGGAATCGAACCCAGGGCTTCATGCATGCTAGGCAAGCGCTCAGCCACTAAGCCACATTCCCAGCTCTGATGTCCTGCCTGTAAGATGTGCTCCGTGCTTGCCGGCCAGAGAGTCAGTCATCTTTCTTGAGAATTCTTTCCATAGTTCTGACTGGAAAAGAGGACCAGGTGGCTGAGTGGAACCAGCATTGGGCTGGTTACAGAGCCAGGTACCTGTGACTCACGCCTGTCTTCCCAGCTACTTGGAAGGCTGCGATCGGAGGATCACAGTTTGAAGTTAGCCTGGACAGAAAAGTCCGTGAGATCTTTATCTACAGTGAACCACCCAAAAGCCAAAAGTAGAGCTGTGGCTCAAGTGGTTGAGCACCAGCCTTGAGCATAAAAGCTCAGGGACAGCATCCAGGTCGAGTTCAAGCCCCAGTATCAACATTTTAAAAATACACTTAATAAAAAGGTGCAGGGGGGCTGGGAAGGTGGCTCAGTGGTAGAGTGCTTGCCTTGCATGCATGAGGCCCTGGGTTCGATTCCTCAGCACCACATACACAGAAAAAGCTGGAAGTGGGTGCTATGGCTCAAGTGGTAGAGTGCTAGCCTTGAGCTGAAGAGCTCAGAACAGTGCCCAGGCCCAGAGTTCAAGCTCCACAACCAGCCAAAAATAAAAAATAAAAAAATAAAAAGGTGGTACAGTGCTCACCTAGCATGCACGAAGCCCTAGGCTCGATTCTTCAGTACCACATATACAGAAAAAGCTGGAAATGGTGCTGTGGCTCAAGTGGTAGAGCGCTAGCTTGGAGCAAAAGAAGCTCAGGGACAGTTCCTAGGCCCTGAGTTCAAGTCCCAGGACTGGCAATATCAATAATAATAATAATAATAATGTGCAGAATTGCACCTTGCTCGCAAAACATACACATAGCTAGGGAATAAGAATTGGGCCTAGCAACATCTGGAATGTTCTGTGGGTCTTGAGCAGACAGGGCCGAGCCGCTTGGACTGCGTCGTGGTCAGGAGGGTGCGGTGGGCAGACCATCTGCGTCGCCTGTCTGTCTGCCTGTCCGTCCGTCCGTCTCTCTGCCCTGCCTCGATCGCATGGTGTTGTGCTAAGTTCGAGTCTGTTGGCATGCCGTGGGCACCCATCACCCACCTGGTCTAGCAGCGTCACAGTGGCTAGGTCTCGTCCTGGGCCACCCTGGGCCAGCTGGGTCACGGCGCCTGCAGGGCGGGGTCTTGGGGTAATCAGGGACACGGGAGATGGTGGACAACGCCGCTGGGCGATTAAGATTTCCATTTCCTAGAAATCTAAGCCGCCCCTCCCCGGAGCGGCTGACGGACTTAATCCTAAGAGATTGGAACATCTGCTCCGGGGAGATAAATGCCATCACTACCGGTCACCGAGCCGCCGGGGGTGAACACCCCGGGCCTGGCGTGGGAAGGGCGACTTGGATCCGCTGCTCTGCCCCAGAATCTCCAGCCACAGACAGACAGACAGACATGCATGTCTAGCACCCATGAAGCCCCGGGTTCCATTCCTCAGCACCACATACACAGAAAAAGCCAGGAGCGGCGCTGGGGCTCAAGTAGTAGAGCGCCAGCCGTGAGCCAAAGCAGCTCAGGGACAGCGCCCAGGCCCTGAGTTCAAGTCTCCGGACTGGCAAAAAAAAAAAAAAAATCAGCTCAGCCTCCCACCACGTTTCCTAGCCAATACCAACTTCTTGCCCATTCTCCACGTTTGGTTTTCCTCAGGGCCCCTCGGCCTTATCAAAGAGACCCAAGTGGGGGACTAGAGGTGTGGTTCAGGCGGTAGAGGGCCAGCCATGGAGCTTGAGTGTCAGGTAGCAAGTTCAAGTCCTAGTCTGGGGGTGGTGGGGAGAGGGAGGGAGGGAGAGAAGGAAAGGAAGGAGAGAAGGAGGAGGGGAAGGAAGGAAGGAAGGAAGGAAGGAAGGAAGGAAGGAAGGAAGGAAGGAAAGAAGGAAGGCAGGCAGGCAGGCAGGCAGGCAGAAGGGCCCTGGGTTCGGGACACTGTGTGGCTCTAGCTCGTTTTCCCCCTGGGCTCTCTGGAGTTCCGTGGGCTCCGTGGTGGTTGGGAGGCCGGGATGTGGAGGGTCAGGGACAAGGAGGGGGCGTTGTGGTTCTGATCCAGGCAGGCGGGAGAGTTCGGCTCAGGTCTGTGCTGTGCTACTGGAGGCCTAGGGCACTGTGGCGTGCTTACACTGGAAGGAAGGATCTAGAATCTCTGAAGCGGTGGGTGTCTGGGGACGTGGGTGTATTTCCACCCCATGTGTGTGTACGCATCTGGAGACGCATCTGCTGCCCTGTGACTGGATGGCTATGGGATTCGAACCCAAGGCCCGATGCTTGCCAGGCAGGAGGCCCTAGCGCCTGAGCCTCGCTTCTGGCCGCCGGTTATGGTTCCAGGGAAGAGGGGGCCGGCAGGGGCAGCGGCAAGCGCAGAGCCGGCCGCGGGTTGGGGCTTTGAGGCTCAGCTCTGCATCTCACAAACACCCCGCCAGACCCAGCGCCTCAGCCTCCAGGAGCCTGTGGTCACAGCCGGGCACCAGTGGCTCACACCTAATCCCAGCGACTCAGAAGGCTGAGATCTGAGGATCGCCGTTCAAAGCCAGCCCAGGGCAGGAAAGTCTGTGAGACTCTTATGTCCAATGAACCACCAGAAAACCAGAAGTGGAGCTGTGGCTCAAGTAGTAGAGCACCAGCCTTGAACAAAAGAGCTCAGGAACAGTGCCCAGGCCCCAAGTTCAAGGCCCAAGACCAGCAAAAAAAAAAAAAAAATCACTGCCCGGCCTGTGTTCCAGGCTATCCCGTCCACCGCCCGGCCTGTGTTCCAGGCTATCCCGTCCACTGCCTGGCCTGATTGTTCCAGGCTATCCCGTCCACCGCCTGGCCCACCCCGTACTCAGGCTGACACCCCGCAATCCCTGACACTAACCCAGGCCTTCCTCCCTGCTTTGGCTTGCAGCCCGAGACAGCGAAGGAGCTGAGGAGGATGTAGCCTTAACCCCCCATGGTGTCCCCCTCCAGCCGCAGGTAAATGCCCCCCATTCGCCCTCCCAGGAGGGGCCAGCCAGCGCCCCTCCCTTAGCCCTCAGGATCCAGAGACAGAGAGACAGAGAGCGCACAGGCAAGGCAGCTCCACCCCCAGATCCTGCGGTACTTGATCCATCCCAACTCAAACCCCACGAGACACAAGGCGCCCCCCCACCTTCATCCGGCACAAACCCCATGCTTTCCACCGCCTCCATTGATGCAGAGGCACAGGGCGGGGGAGGGGGGGACTCACGCCTGCCATCCCAGCCACTCAGGAAGCTGAGATCTGAGGATCGAGGTTCAAAGCCAGCCCAGGCAAGAAAGTCCATGATCCTCTGATCTCCAATGAACCACCAGAAAACCAGAAGTGGCGCTGTGGCTCAAGTGGTAGAGCACCAGCCTGGAGTGAAAGAGCTCAGGGACAGCGCCCAGGCCCTGAGTTCAAGCCCCACAACCGACCCCACCCCGAAAAAAAAGAAGCTTGTTAATGAGCAGTTGGGTTCGTTGGGCTCCAGACCCCAGGAACCCACAGGGGATTGACTGACAGGGAGTGAGTGCTGCATTCTAGAAGCTTCTCAATAGCGGGGACACTTCTACACATGCCCAGAGTGTACCTCCATCCGAACCCCTCCCCTCTCCCCTCCCTCCCCCTCCCCTCCCCTCCCCTCCCCTCCCTTCCCTCTCCTCCCCACTTCTTTGGTTTATTTTGCTTTCCAGTCATGGAGCCTGAACTTAGGGCCTGGGTACTCACTGTCCTCAGCTCTTCAGCTCAAAGTTAGCACTCTACCACTTGAGCCATAGCACCACTTCCAGCTTTCTGCTTATGTGGTGCTGAGGAATCGAACCCAGGGCTTCGTGCATGCAAGGCGAGCGCTCTACCGCTGAGCCGCCATCCCGGCCCTCCCCACTTGTTAAAACGATGTCAGCGGGCGTTCTCCTATGTGCACACGTGCACACCACGTGAACCGTCACCTTTGTCCTGGCCCTGCCCACTGCACAGCGGAGCCGGTGCCTGGGCCCCATGATGTGTTCCACCAGCACGTGTGGACTGTGTACAGGACCCGAGTGCACACGTGTGGGGGGATCTGTGTGCACACGTGTGTGGACTGCATACAGAATGTGTGCACATGCATGTGGACCTGTACAGGATCCGTGTGCACACGTGTGTGGACTGTGTATAGGATCCATGTGCACACGTGTGGACCGTATACAGGATCTGCGTGCATGAAGTCTATAAGCTCGTCTATAGTTTTCATTCCTTCTGGAAGTTTCCTATCCTCATACATCAGTGCAATCGATTTCCACGATTCTCTTCCTTTCTCCCAACCCCTCTTACAGTCCCCAGACACGTGATGAGACAGACAGACAGAGAGACAGAGAAAGGGAGAGAGACAGAGGAAGAGAGACAGAGGAAGAGAGACAGGCAGACAGACAGACAGACAGAGACAGAGGGGCAGGGACGGGCTGCGGACAGACAGAGGGACAGCCCTCCAGGAGCGCATGCGCGCTGGACATGGGCCTCCACTGTCTGGGCTGACCTCGTGTGCACTTCCTCCTCCGCAGACTGCTGAGCCCTCGCAGGGCCAACTCCTCCCCAGGACCGCCCTGAGCGTGGACGCGGCCGTGTGAGCTGACCCCCGCCCCGCGGACCCCAGCGACCCCCACCCAGCCAGGCCCCTCGGACCCCAGCGACCCCCACCCAGCCAGGCCCCTCGGACCCCAGCGACCCCCACCCGGCCTGGCCTCTCGGACCCCGGCGACCCCCACCCAGCCTGGCCCCTCAGACCCCAGCCCCCACCCCACCCCGGCCCCTCGGACCCCAGCCCCCACCCCACCCCGGCCCCTCGGACCCCAGCCCCCACCCCACACCGGCCCCTCGGACCCCGGCTCCTCGGACCCCGGCCCCCACCCCACCCGGCCTGGCCCCTCGGACCCCAGCCCCCCCCCCACCCGTCCTGGCCTCTCGGACCCCGGCGACCCCCACCCAGCCTGGCCCCTCGGACCCCAGCCCCCACCCCACCCGGCCTGGCCCCTCGGACCCCAGCCCCCACCCCACCCCGGCCCCTCGGACCCCGGCCCCCACCCCACCCGGCCCCTCGGACCCCGGCCCCCACCCCGGCCCCTCGGACCCCGGCCCCCACCCCACCCCGGCCCCCACCCCGATTACAGCCCTGCTGCCCTGGCCCCCACCCCACCCCGGCCCCCACCCCACCCCGGCCCCCACCCCGATTACAGCCCTGCTGCCCTGGCCCCGGCTCCACGTCTTTCTTCACCCACGCCGCTCGCAGGTGGTGTGGGGGGGACAAAGGAGGTAGTGGGGCCCCAGCCTGAGGACACTGCCACGTGACAGCCCCGTGACATGGGGGCCACATGAGCGGACCCTCCTGCTAGCTCTTAACCACACGGAAAATATGTGTGACAAAAGTTGACCACTAAGGGGCACTGGTGCTCACGTCTGGCATCGCAGCCACTCAGGAGGCTGAGATCTGAGGATGGCGGTTCAAAGCCAGCCCGGGCAGGAAAGTCCGCGAGACTCCGATCTCCAACCAGAAAACCAGAAGTGGAGCTGTGGCTCAAGTGGTAGAGCACCAGCCTTGAGTGAAAGAGCTCAGGGACAGCGCTCAGGCCCTGAGTTCAAGGCTCATCACACACACACACACACACAAAACTTAGTCAACTGAGGGCAATGGTGGGACAGGAAGGAAAGGAGGAAGGAACAGCAGATGCACACAATGCACGTGGGAGGATTGAGCAGGCTGTGTGCGTGTTTGTGTGCGTGAGTGCGCGTGTGTGTGAGTGTGTGTGCGTGAGTGCGAGTGTGTGTGCGTGTGAGTGTTGTGTGTGCGTGAGTGCGTGTGTGTGAGAGTGTGTGTGTAAGTACGTGTGTGAGAGAGAGTGTGTGAGTATGTGTGTGTGAGTGCGTGTGTGTGAGCGTGTGCGTGTGAGTGTGTGTATGTGTGTGAGTGCGTGTGTGTGTGAGTGTGTGTGAGAGTGCGTTGTGTGTGTTTGTGAGAGTGCGTGTGCATGTGTGAGTGCGTATGTGTGAGTGCGTGTGTGTGAGTGCGTGTGTGTGTGTGTGTGTGTGTATATATATGTGTGCATGCGCATGCGCACGTGCACACAGGGCCTCTGTCCCATTTGGCCAAAGCCTTGGATGTGAGCTCATGCACAGACACAGCCCCTCAACCCTCTACCCAACTCCCACCACAGCGCTGGGACCTCTGGCTCCGCTGGGCGGACTCTGGGGCTTGGAAAAAGGGGAACCAAAAGAATAGAGAGTGGGTCCACATACCCCCCATGTTCCCCCAAATAAAGCCCCCAGGGGACCTGCAGGGAGGGGCTGGGCCGGGCTGGGGGGGGCGCTGGGCTGTTTTGGTGTGGTGGCAGCAGCTTCAGAACTCTGGTCTCAGCCGCTGCCCAGCCGCTGCGCCCGCTGCTCAGCCAGGGCTGTTTTGCGTTCCTTCTGAAACTTTTCTGCGCGTGTCATCCAGCTTTCTGGTGGTTCATGGAAGACCAGAGTCTCAGGGGCAGTGTCCTGCCCCGGGCTGGCTTTGAACCTCGACCCTCAGATCTCAGCCTCCTGAGTGGCTGGGATGACAGGCGGGAGCTTTACCTGATCCCAGAAGGAGGCAGGAGGTGGGAAGGAGGGGGGCAGGAAGGAGAGGGGCAGATGGTTCCCAGCCCTTAGGGCACCCCTAGAAATGAAGGAGGGGACCAGAGCCTTCATTTCACAAGCACAGGAGCTGCCTGTGGACGGGAGGGCAGGCAGGCAGGCGGGTGGGTGGGCAGGAGGGAGGGCGGGAGGGAGGGCTCCTGCACACCCCACAGAGGCCCGCAGAAGCTGGGACCGGCACCCGCTTCCACCAGGTAAAGCTCAAGGCTGGGCTTTACCGCCACCCAGCGGCCATGTCAAGCACAGCAGCCCCAGAGGCGGGTGGAAATCTGAGACCTTGGAGGGGAGACAGCCTTCCTGACCGCTCCAGGCTCTGTTGGGGAGGCTGGGATTGGGAGGATCACTATTTGAGCCCGTGCGGGAATGGGGTGAGATCCCAGCTCAACCAACAAGAAGCCGGGCACCGTGGTAGCGCCTGTAACCCATCTAATGAAGTCAGCCTCACTGGGAGGGTCGCCCGCCAAGCCAGCAGGGAGATCTCGCTGCAAAAATAATGTGAGTGGGGGGTGTGGCTCAAGCAGTCGAACACCTTCCCGGCAAGGAGTTCAAACCCGGATGAGGTGCGTTGCGTGCACACACACGTGTGCACACACACACACACACACAGGTGCGCAGTAGGGAGACCTGCCCACCCCCAAGGGACACGGGGCCAGGTCCTGACGCATCCGCACTGCGATCGGAGGCTCAGCAACACGCCCCATGCTTTATTGCAGACCTAGAGGGGGACAGCACCGCGTGGGTGAGTGTGTGACCTGGCGGAGGCAGGGAGGCCGGGCGGGTGGAGGCTCGGCCGGGCTGGGTGTGCTGTGGCCAAGCTGAGGCCACTCCTGGCACTGACCACGCAGGCTTGTGGGCGCCGGACGCCCTTCGGTCACCGGTGACGGTGCAGACAGTCTGGCCCTGAGTCCCAGATACCACCGTGCGGTGAGGATCTGGGGTGAGGCCTCTCGGGCCCAGCGCCCGCGTGGACGGTGTCCATCCCTGTGACAGTGGGTCCCCGGGGCTCGATGTGCACCCCGGGACACGGGCCGGCTGTGCGGCCGGCGGGCTCAGCGGCCCCCCTCCCGGCCGTCGTAGTCGGTGTAGGGGCTGCTGGGCCAGGCCTGGGCCCGGGGGATGGAGAAGTCCTGGGCAGGGGCCCGGTCCTAAGAAGGAAGAGACCACACGGTTCATCCTGCCCAGCCCTGGCCTCCGTGGGTGTCCACGGAATCCCAGCCCGGCCACCCCACCCCACGGCAGCCTGGCTTCCTGGGCGCGTGGACCGTCACCTGCAGCTGGAAGTGGGTGGTGTACGGGGCGTGGGGCGAGGCGCCCGGCACTGGGGGACCTGCGGAGGGAGAGGAGACGCATGGGACCCCGGCCCAGCCCCGGCCGGTCACGCCTCACACGTGACCACCCCATACATACAGGGTCCATCAGCAAACCGGGAGATTCAGCCCTCAGGGCTGCAATCGGAAGCAAGGCCGGCTGCAGGAATGAATGAACGAATGACAGCAGACACTTGGACTAATGAATGAAGCATAGGGTCTCGGCTGGGGGTGATGCCAGCGGCATGAATGAGTGACAGCCGAGTGAACGGATGAATGAATGAATGACACGTCCCCCGGGGCCCGGAGGAGGCCCGCTCCAGCACTGCCTGCCCACAAGGTCACTCCAAGGGTGCATGGGAGAAGTCTGCTCAGGCTGAGCATGGCAGCTCACGCCTGTAACCCCTGCTGTCCAGGAGGGGTGAGGAGAATCACAAGAGCTCAATCCCAGCAGCTCTCACACAGAGTGAGGGGTAAGGGTGGGGGTGCTGTGTGTGTGTATTCATTGGTCCTGGGTTTTGAACTCAGGGCCTGGACGCTGTCCCTGAGCTCTTTCACTCAGGGCTGGCGCTCTACCACTTGAGCCACAGCTCCACTTCCGGTTTTCTGGTGGTTCATGGGAGATCAGAGTCTCACGGACTTTCCTGCCGGGGCTGGCTTTGAACCGCGATCCTCAGACCTCAGCCTCCGGAGGAGCTGGGATGACCGGCGTGAGCTGCGGGCGCCGGGCAGCTCTTCTTTCTTTATTTCATTCTGTATTTCCATCCCGGGGTCAGAGCCCAAGGGCCTCATCCGGCCCTCGGCCACTTGGTTATTTTTCAGCCCGGCATCCTCACCTCCCCGCCTTCAGTGCAGCCGGGACTACAGGCGGGCGCTACTGTCCGGGTCAGGGCCTCCCTCCGGGCCCCGAGGCGCACGCGGCAGCCGGGGGCCGGGGAGGGCGGGGGGGTTACCTGGCTGGGCCTCCTCGGGGGTGAAGGCCGGGTTGTGCAGGCCGAGGCCGAGGTGCGGCGTGAGCAGCCGCGGCTGGCAGGGCGCGTCCTCGGCGGGGTAGTCGCGGGGGTCGCGCTGCTTGGTGAGCTGCAGGAACTCGGGGAGCACGAAGGCGGCCAGGAACAGCCAGCCGTTGGCCACCAGCGCGGCGCCCAGCACGGCATCGTCCCACTGGGGCCCGGGCTCGGGCCGCAGCAGCAGCGCGATCCAGGAGGCCCAGAGGGCGGCGGCCAGCAGCGCGGTGAGGCCGGCGCGGGCGCCCAGGCGCCGCCAGGCGGGGAAGCGGCCGCGCAGGGCCAGCGCGGCGGCGGCCAGCGTGGCGGCCAGCAGCGCCATGGCGAACCCCAGCAGCAGCACCAGGTCCTCGTTGCGCCGGCGCGCGGGCATGGCGGCGAACACGTCCGCGCGCGTGCGGTTCATGGCCAGCACCACGTACTCGGCGGCCAGCGCGTCCTGCACCAGGCCGAGGCCCAGCGCCAGCGCCAGCAGCCCGAGGCCCGGCAGGGCCGGCCGGCCGCGCGCCAGGCGCGCCGCGTGCACCGCCAGGGCCAGCAGCGCGGCGAAGCCGGTGCCCGCCGCCGCCGGGAAGCCCGCGAGGCGCGCGGGGCCCGTGGCGCCGTCCAGCGGCAGCAGGAAGGCGAAGGTCAGCGCGAACTGCGCCAGCAGCGCGGCCAGCAGCAGCAGCAGCGTGGGCAGCGCGCGCCGCCGGCCCGGGTCCTGCACGCGGCGCGCCGCGCCCGCCAGCCACAGCGCCGCGCCCGCCGCCGCCGCCGCGCCCGCCGCCGCCGCCGCCTCCAGCGCCACGCCCCACGCCGCGCCCACGTCGCACAGCCGGTGGTAGCGCGCGTCCAGGTCGGAGCGGCAGCCCCGGGGGGCCGCGGCCTTGCCCATCCCCACCTGCGGGGGGACACGGGGGACACGGTCACCTCGAAACCCGCCACGCCCCTCGGCTACCTGTGGCCAACGTCTAGAATGAACCCAGGGGAAGAGGAAGGGGGGAGGGAAGGAGGGAGGGAAGGAGGGAGGGAGGGAGGGAGGGAGGGAAGGAGGGAGGGAGGGAGGGAGGGAGGGAGGGAAGGAGGGAGGGAGGGAGGGAAGAAGGGAAGGAGGGAATGAGGGAGGGGAAGGGAAGGAGGGAGGGAAGGAGGGAGAAAGAGGGAAGAAGGGAAGGAGGGAGGGAGGGAAGGAAGGAAGGAGGGAGGGAGGGGAAGGGAAAGAGGGAGGGAAAGAGGGAGGGAAGGAGGAAGGGAAGGAGGGAGGGAAGGAGGGAGAAAGAGGGAAAAAGGGAAGGAGGGAGGGAAGGAAGGAGGGAGGAAGAGAAGGAAGGAGGGAGGGAGGGAAGGAAGGAAGGAGGGAGGGAAGGAAGGAAGGAGGGAGGGAAGAAGGGAAGGAGGGAATGAGGGAGGGGAAGGGAAGGAGGGAGGGAAGGAGGGAGGGAAGGAGGAAGAGAAGGAAGGAGGGAGGGAGGGGAAGGGAAGGAGGGAGGGAAGAAGGGAAGGAGAGAAGGAGGGAGGGGGAGGGAGGGAAGGAGGGAGAAAGAGGGAAGAAGGGAAGGAGGGAGGGAGGAAAGGAAGGAAGGAGGTAGGGAGGGGAAGGGAAGGAGGGAATGAGGGAGGGGGAGGGAGGAGAAGGGAAGAGGAGGGAGGAAGGGAAGGAGGGAGGGAAGGAGGGAGAAAGGGAAGAAGGGAAGGAAGGAGGGAGGAAAGGAAGGAAAGAGGGAGTAAGGGAAGGAAGGAAGGAAGGAGGGAGGGAGGGAAGAGGAGGGAGGAAGGGAGGGAGGGGAAGGGAAGGAGGGAATGAGAGGGAGAGGGAGAGGGAGGGAGAAAAGGAAGGAAGGAGGGAGGGAAGGGAAGGGAAGAAGGGAAGGCAGGAGGGAGAGGGGGAGGAGAAGGGAGGAAGGGAAGGCAGGAGGGAAGGGAAGGGAGGGAGACTCTAGGCCGTATAATCTGACCACAATGTACACAAGTTCAACCAAACCAGACTCCCTCAAAAGAAAATACTATTATTTAGCTGTTTCCTGCTCCTTCCACTACCTTTCCTCCGCTCCATCTCTGGGTTTGTTTTCTTTCTTTAAAAGAGCAGGGCTGGGCAGGTGGCTAGTGGTACAGTGCTTGCCTTGCATGCATGAGGCCTTGGGTTCGATTCCTCAGCACCCATAAGCAGAAAAAGCTGGAAGTGGCGCTGTGGCTCAAGTGGTAGAGCGCCAGCCTTGAACAGAAGAGCTGAGGGACAGCGCCCAGGCCCAGAGTTCAGGCCCCAGGACAAAAAAATAGAAGTAAAAGCCAGGCGCCAGTGGCTCACGCCTGTCATCCCAGTAACTCAGGAAGCTGAGGACTGAGGATCACGGTTCAAAGCCAGCCTGGGCAGTCTGTGAGACTCTTCTCCAAAGAATCACCAGAAAACTGGAAGTGGCGCTGTGGCTGAAGTGGTAGAGCACCAGCCTTGAGCAAAAGGAGCTGAGGGACAGCGCCCAGGCCCAGAGTTCAAGCCCCAGGACTGACAAAAAGAAATTAATTGAAATAAAAAAGAGCAATGGGCCTGTAAAGAAGAGCAAAGCCCAGCAGAGCCTCACCCAGCTGTCTCCTTACCCCAGGGGCTGCATGCACACGCGTGGGCAGACACCCCAGCCCCCCCGCCCCCCACTCCCCTCCCTTCCTCTCTGTCCATCTGTGGGAGCAGCCAGCGCCCCCCCCCCCAGGGCCAGGACCCTCCTGGAGGGGGTACAGCCCTTCCCAGCCCTGGGCCTGCCTCCTTGGCCTTGTGTGAGTTTTGGGGTGCACCTGCCGGGAACCCCAGCGGGACTTCAGGGGCTGGAGGACAGAGGATGGAGGACAGACCAGGGACACCCGCCGGCAGAGCAAGCCCAGAAAGCAGGGGGGGTGCACCTCCCGGGGGGGGGCCTGCCTGGGGAGTCCTGCCCCCCCACCCCATCTCCTCCTGGGGGGGGGGGACAGCTGCAGGTCCCGCGTGCTCCAGCCGCACTCACCCGCAATGCAACGCCGCACAGCCTCGGGGAGTGTCCTGGGCTGATGGGGCGGAGCGGTTATAAAGGCCGCTGTCACCCCGGCAGAGGAGGGGGAGGAGGGGGAGGGGAGGAGGGGGAGGGGTGCCCGGGACAGGAGGGGAGGGCACACCCAGCCCGGGCAAAGTTATGAAAATAAAGTCTGGGTGCCAGACTGGGTGCCTGACGTGGTCACTGGAAGTGGGGGGGGGGGGTGAGGGGCGTACCCCCACTCTGCTTAGGATAAAGGGGGGACCAGGGGCAGGATGTCCAGCCAAAGCTGGGAGGTCAGAGACGCCCCTCCTCCCTGGGAGGAGGGTCTCCCAGGGGAGGTCTCCGAGGGGGGGTAACCTGGGATGGTGCTCCCCGGCTGGCTGGACCCTCCCGCCCCTCCCGCCTGGTCCCCAGCACTCGAGATAAGAAGGAATGTGAGGAGTTGAGGGAATTTGCATCCTGCTGAAGCCAGGCTCTGTTTACCTGCCCCTCCCTCCCGTCTGTGCTCTTGGGGTGCTGATGGAGCCCAGGCCGGCCTTAAACGTGAGAACCCCGCTCCCCACCGCCTCTCCTGGGATTGCAGGCCTGCGCTCCCACGCTGGTTCCAAACCAGCGGGCCAGGCCCGGTGCGCCCTCCTCACCACAGAGAAACCGCAGCCAGCCGTTCCCAGAGCCAGGGATCATCTGCACCCCGCCAGGGCGCCCGGGGTGGGGAGGGGAAGCAAGGCAGGGGTGGGGGACTGGGCCTGGCGTTCATGATGTCCCTCCAAGGCCCCAGTGCCACAGAGGCCAGGGGCCCACAGAACAAATCCCATCACCTCACTAAGACAGGCTCACGACTGCCGTCCCAGCCGCTCAGGAGGATCGTGGTTCAAGGCCAGCCCGGGCAGGACAGCTCTGAGACTCATTCTTTTTTAAAATTTTATTGTAAAGTTACACGAGGAAGGCCACGGGTACATTTCGGGGGGGGGGGGGGAACAGTGTTATTACCCCCTCCACAAGAATGGGGAGAGGGAGAGGGAGGGCTGGGAAGGGAGAGGGCGTTGGCCAAGAACTAGGGGTCCCATGGCAGAGCTATCAGTCAGGGCCCTCCCCCCACCTCCTCTCCCTCTCCCCCTCCTCCCCTGCCCCACTAGACGAACTGTTAAATCCTTAGAGCCAAGGCTGCAAAGCCTCCAGGCTCAGGGTTGGATCCCAGACTCCCTAAAAAGTGCTCAGACTGGTTCCCAGACTTGACTCTGACAGAGCCAGCCGCAGGCCCCTCTCCTCCCAGCCCGGCCTGGAAGTGGGGGGGCTCTGACATCTCCTCTGCTCCCTCTAGCTCCTCTCTGCCCAAGAGTAGACTGGGCAGTGGGACAGCGCCCAGGCCCCGAGTTCGAGGCCCAGTAGTTGTCAGGGGAAGAGATGGCGACAGACATGCAGGATGCCTAGCGTGTTTCACAGCTGAGATTCGGGCTCTTCCAGGACCCTCGGGGCCCTGGGGGCCATGGCTGCTCTCCAAACCCAGCCTGTTCCAAGGCCGCCATCCTGGTGACAGAGCCACTTGAGGAAGAACTCAACAGCCACCAAGACTCTGGGGGAAAATCCCGGCCCTTCTCCCCGGCACCCCCCCCCCCCGCTGGCCACTTCAGGGGTAGAGAGCCCCAATCTCTCCCCATCCTCCACCCAGACCTGGGTTTGGCCTGGCCTTGCAGGCTCCAAGCCTTGGGTTCCATCCCCAGCACTGCGGCTCACACCTGTAAGAGACCCCATCTCCACACAAACCCTTGGACATGGTGGTGTAGAGTACGTCTACCATCCCGGCTGGAGTAAGAAGTACCGTAGGAAAGCCACCGTCCAAGCTGGCCCAGAAAAAAATAAAAACAAAGAAAAATGAAGTTCTATCTCCAAAAATAACCAGAGCTGAAAGGGATGGAGGCCTTCAAGGGGAAGCACACTTGCCTAGCAAGCACCAGGACCAGAGTTCAAATCCTGGTACCACTTAAGACAAAAAGAACACCAAAACGAAGAGCACCAGGCTGGCCCGGCGCAGCCTGTGAAGAGGGCCAGCCTGGGTCCTCACAGAACATTCCAGAAACTCGACTTGAAAGGCCAGCCCCACCCCCACAGTCACCCATCACACTCGATGGCCAATTAAGCCAGAAAAAGCAAATAAACACTCCCAGTGAGCCCCGGAGGGCAGCGCGGCGGCTAGGCCTGCGGGACACAGGGCGTGGGGTGCCCGGCACCCCGCTGGCCACTCACCTGCCTGTGCGCGCACACACACACGTGGAAACGCTTGGAAAAGCCTGTGGAAAAGCTCTGTGGGCAGCTAGGCTCCCTGGGTCCCTGCCGGGACTAAAGAGTACCGCCAGGACGCCTGTCTCCTGCCAGGAGTTCCAACTATCATCTCCACCACCATCACCACCACATGGCTGCCAGAAACTGTGAGCTGCCAACGGGCAGGACCCCTCCCCTCCCCTCCCCCCGTGGGTTACCTGAGCACCCCCTCCACGGCCACCCTAACGCAGGCTGTTATGAAGGCACAGTTGGTGCATGCCTGTAGTCCCAGCTTCTCTGGAGGCAGAGATCAGGAGGATCACGGTTCAAGGCCAGCCTGGGTGAAAAGGTCACAAGACCCCCTCCCCCTGAATCTCTACAAATAGTGCAGTTCTCACCTGAGACCTCAGCTCCACCCCGGGCTCAGAAAAACAAAATCCTACCTGCTTAAAAAAAAAAAAAGCCGGGCGCCAGTGGCTCCCGCCTGTCATCCCAGCTACTCAGGAGGCTGAGATCGGAGGATCACAGTTCAAAGCCAGCCCAGGCAGGAAAGTCCGTGAGACTCTGATCTCCAATGAACCACCAGAAAACCAGAAGTGGCGCTGTGGCTCAAGTGGTAGAGCACCAGCCTTGAGTGAAAGAGCTCAGGGACAGCGCCCAGGCCCTGAGTTCAAGACCCAGAACCAACCAAAAACAAAAACAAACCACTGAGGCACAAAAGCCTCGGGTGGGCATCCTGCACAGCTGGCATCGGTGCACCGGGCCTGGCGGCGCTCACCTGTAATCCTAGCACTCAGGAGCGAGGCCGGCAGGCCATCCCACGGCCGCAGCTCCAGTCTGTTTCCCCTGGGTTTGGACGCCTGGACTGGCTGGCAGAGCTTGAAATCCGGGCCCCTTGGGCAGCTCCACGCAGCTCAGCCACCCTCTCATGCATGCGTGCCCGAGCAGCCAGTGACCCCACACAGCCCGGGCCACTGTCATGTTCAGGGTTTCTGTTAGCATCCAGTGGTCACACACAGGGATTCCACTGAGATTTCAACCACACTCAGCCTCGCTCGGTGTCAGCTTCCGGCCCTGGCCCAGCAGCCAGGACAAGGAAGGAGGGAGGAGAGAGGCTGAGGCCGGGCAGGGCAGTGCACACCTGTAACCCAAGCCCTCCAGAAGCCAAGGCTGGAGGCTGGGGACTCAGCGCCAGCCTGGACTGAAGCGCTGGTCGGCCAGCCACTTGAGCGGTTCAGAGACGTTTAGCAACTGACTTAGGCCCACACAGCATGAGGGGCCTGGCATCTAGACGCCTTCCCTAGGGCTGCTGGGCACTTGATGGCGCCAACAGGGGTCCAGGGCTAGGGGCAGAGGCGGGCAGGCGTCTCCCGGGCCCGGGAGGGCCGCCAGCACAGCTCCGGGGACAAGCTGGTGTCTGGTGCAGTTTCGGTGCATTCCTGGGCCAGGTGAGGCTGGGAGGAATGTCCCCCGCCTTGCCCTGCCACCCAAGGGCGTGACTCACCCCCATGCCAGGCCCCAGGGGTTCTGTGGGGGTCACAGCTTCCCAGTGGCAGACAGAGCGCACTGAGAAAGGGCTTGGCTGGGAGCCAGGGTTCTGGAACATTCTTTGTATTTTTGAGACTGAGACACTGCCAAAGACGCCATACTCCCTGCAGACGGGAGGGGACGCCCCTTCGGGGGGGCACAGTGCTCCCTGCACAGTGCTCGCTCGGGCCGCTGGGGTGGGGCTGTCCACACCCAGAGCCTCCGGTGTACACAGGGACAATGGCACTTCACGGGAGGCCACAGGTCCTGCATGGTCTGCACTACACACAGCTTGCCTCGGTGGAGGAGCCGGACCAGAGATGGGGTGGTGAGGGCAGGGGAGGCGCTGGGGGCTGTCCCCATCCGTGGGGCCCGGTCCCTCTCCTCCGCTGTGGACGATGTCTAGAAGGCCCCACTCAGGGCTCCCACGGCCATGGGTCTGGGCGTCCTCACTCGGTGCCCAGCCTGCAGAGGCCCAAGACCTGGCCAATTCCTCCTGCGCACCCTCAGCCCGGCCTGGACGCAGACGGCCACAGCGGGGGTGTCTGCACCCCTAAAGACAGCGCAAGCGCCCTCTCCCCACATCTCCTCCCAGGGCGCTTCCTGCAGACAGGCGGGCGCTCCACCTCGTGAGCCACAGCGCCACTTCTGGTTTTCGGGTGGTTCATCGGCTGGGAGAGTCTCACGCACTTTCCTACCCGGGCTGGCTTTGAGCCACAATCCCCGCATCTCAGCCCGCACAGGACTGGGAAGACCCTCCAGACCATCTTGATCTTTGCTGAGGATGCTAAAGAGTAAATCATGGTCACCTCGGATAAACTGAGGCCCGACAACGAGCCGTCACCGTCACCGCTAGCCGCCGCCGGCCAGCGCGCTCAGGCCCTGGGCACAGAGTGCAGGACGCGTGCCGTGGAGAAACGGCTGGGATTTATTGTTCCACGCGGCCCCACGAGGCCCAGGGCCGGAGAGCTGTGCTCGCCGCATTCCTCGGGTACCGGTGGGGTTGGCACAGGACGGGGCGATGCTCTGGGCCGGGGCCCAAGCACAGAGCCGGGCCCCGGGCACCGACGCCGCCGATCGCCGACTCGAGTCCACGCACGGGCGCTGGGCAGGTACCCGGCACCCACGCAGGTCCTGGGAGACCGGGCAGAGGGCCTGCTGAGGGCCCAGTCCTTGCGCAGAATCCACCAGAATCTAGCGGCCCTTCCGCTTCTTCATCTTCCCTCCAGCCACCTTGTTCCTGACGCCAATGGCAGCCTCCGTGTCGTCGTTGTCCCCCGCCTCCTCCCGGGCTCGCTTCTTCTTCTCCCCGTGCTCCCTCAGCTCCTACAGGAAGCGGAAGGACACGGCTGCACACCGGCTCCGTCCCCCCCACCGTCACTTCCTTCCCAGGCTGCCCTCCCCCACGGCAGGGCCCCAGCCATGCCGGACCCAAGGGACAGGCACAGAGCCACACTTGGGTGACAGTGGAAAGAGGCCGACGTGCCCTGCGCGCCACGGATGCGTGACCGAGTTCTCGGGGAATGAGAAAGAAAAGATCAGTCGAGGCACAAAGGAGTGGGCGTTGTGAGGAGGACGGAGCAGAGGGAGTGTGGGGCCCACGGCTGTCGTCACACGCCTCGGGAGATGGAGGCAGGGAGGCCCCGAAGTTCAAGGCCAGCCTAGGCCACATAGCAAGACCCTGCCTCAAAGCAAAAAGCAACGACCTCTACTGGTGGATGCTCAGCCCTCCCGCACCCCACTGCACCCCACGGCGGGGACACAGCCAGGGCCCAGCAGAGCTGCACTAGGAAAGAGAATCTGCAGTCAGAGTAAATACACCCGGGGCAAAGGGCTGAACTGTATGTAGGTCCTGAGCCCAACGGTAACCTGCGTGTAAACGAAGAGAGCAAAACACCAAGAGCCCCGCACGCACTAGCAACTAAACACATGCAGATCCTGCCGCTTCTGCCTTTAAACAAACCAGCCACTCAGCGTCCCCTGGGCGCTGGGCCCAGAGCCCTTAGTTGGGTGGTGGCTGCTCTCCCCAGCCCCCCAACTTTACCAAAGGGCCTCTACAGGCTGGGGTGTCGGGTGTGCTATTCTAGGGTAAGGAAAGCGCAGCTCAAGCCCGCTTCGAAGCCAGCCGGGGCAGGAGAGCTGAGACGTCACAAGGAATCTCCAAAGAGCCAGGAGTGGAGCTGTGGCTCAGGTGGAAGAGCGCCAGCCTGGAGTGTAAAAGCGCAGGGACAGGGGGCAGGACCAGCACAAAAGTTAAAAAAATAAAAAAGAACCCTCGCTCCTGGGAGGGCAGCCTGTGAGCAGCTTCTGCACTCCCAGGGCTTCTGGAACCTTCCTCAGAGCCAGCAGCACCCTGAGGCCCCTGTGTGACCACACACCCTCACTAAGCCCTGGCTCAGGGAGGCCAGGGAGCGGGGGGGCTCCTGGCGGGAGACCAGAAGACGGGCAGACTGGCCGCCAACACCGCCACCAGCCTGGGGCCCTGGACTCAGCGCGGATGGGCGCATGAGCGCACGTACACACACATGCACGCACGCGCACGCACACACATGCACGCACGCGCACACACGCACACACACACGCACGCACCATCCTGGCAAACCGCTGCGCCTCGGTCACGCGCTCGGCCAGCAGCATGACCTCCTCATCCTGTGTGGGGAAGGCGGGCAGCTTCTTCCCGATCAGGTGCTCGATGCGCTGGAAGAGCTCCACGTCGTACCTGGGGAGGGGAGGAGCGGGCTGCCACACACACCCCATCCCCGGTGCCCCCTGCCCCAGGAGCCACACTGTGAGCGCCGGGTCTCACTGCGCAGCCCGGGCTGGGCCCGCCCGCTGGGGTCCGGGACTACAGGGAGGAGCCCTGGCACTAGCTTTGCTGTGGCTTTCCCCAGCCCCGCCCGCGTGAGGTCTCGTCATCTCCACCACCTCAGGTGAGGAGGGTCCTGGGGTCACTCACTGCGTGACGAAGGTGATGGCTTTCCCCGAACGCCCGGCCCTCGCTGTCCGGCCCACGCGATGGATGTAATCCTGGAACGAGGGGAAATCAAATCCACCACAGCCTCTAGCCCTCTGGCAGCCCAGGCCACAGGACAAAGCCACCGTGTCCTTTCCCGCCAACCTAAGCCAGTGCTCGCCTCTCTTTTCTAGAAAGACCCATCTAGGAAGCAGAGCTGCAAGGCACGTCACAGGACGTCATCTCTGCACAAGGGGCAGCGGGAAGCAAGGGCCGGCCTTGTCCACCCAGCGAGCAGAGCTGAGCTGCGGGGTGCAGGGGGCTTGGGGTACTGGGGACATGGGGTCCACGGTGGCGGCTCTACCTCCCTAGGGCGCCCGGCCATGTGGGGGTGTCCTGGGGGTGCGGGGGACGGGACACAAGGGTGCAGGGCGCACACAGCAGCCATGGGAGTCAGGCCGGAACGCCAGGACCCACCGAGACCCGAGCGGCTGCTGCTTCTCCTTCTGCCAGTCCTGGGGCTAGAACTCAGGGCCTGAGCTTTTTTCATTCAAGGCTGGTGCTCTACCACTTCTGGCTTTCTAGAAATTCATTGAAGATCACAGAGTCTCACAGACGTTTCCTGCCCAGACTGGTTTTGAACCACGATCCTAACATCTCAGCTTCCTGAGTAGCTGGGATGACAGGCGTCATTTCTACAGGGAAGAGCCTGACACGCCCTAACCGAGGGTCTCTGGTGAACGCACTCCCCCGATGCCTCTGTCCCGAGTGACCTCTACCAGATGCGGCCGTCAGAGCTGGTGGCCGTGAGCGAAGCCCTTTCGTGGGTCTGGGCGCTTGGAGCGCCCAGGACGGCTGGAGGCAACGAAGGAGGGCAGACCAGGCGGGTGGGGAGGGCGCGGGCAGCCACTCACCTTGGAGTGGGTGGGGATGTCGAAGTTGACCACCACGTCCACGTGGGGGATGTCCAGCCCCCTGCTGGCCACGTCGGTCGCGAGCAGGATGGAGCGGGCCTTGGCCTTGAACTTATTGAGGGACCCCAGGCGCTTGGTCTGGGAAGAGAAACAGTGGGGAAGGGGGTGAGTTATACAGCTATATACCACCGAGCCGCCACACTCGGATCAGAAGCGAGTCGAGTCTAGACAGGGCGCCATGGAGCAAAGCAAACACGGACACCACAAAGCCACGAAGCCTCCAGTGTACACAGAGAGCCATGTGCAGCGGCGAACCTGCCCTCGCACCCGGCTCTACACCACAGGCCCCGCTTACCTGGCTCATCTGCCCGTGCAGCAGGATGGCGGTGCAGCCTGGGTCCCCCCCCCCCCCCGTGCGTGACCCCACACGCCCTCCCCGCAGCCGCGCTCACCTGGCTCATCTGCCCGTGCAGCGGGATGGTGGTGCAGCCTGGGTCCCCCCCCCCCCCCCGTGCGTGACCCCACACGCCCTCCCCGCAGCCGCGCTCACCTGGCTCATCTGCCCGTGCAGCGGGATGGCGGTGAAGCCCAGGTTGCGCAGCAGCAGCGCGGTTCTCTGCGTGTTGTTGCACGTGCTGCAGAAGATCATGAACGAGTTGCCGGCCAGCTCGTTGAGGACGTAAACCAGGTAGGTGTCCTGCGCCACAGACCCCAACACCTCGTCACCACGCCCGGGGATGCCCGGCCCAGCGTGCGTGCGTGCATGTGTGCATGCGTGCGTGTGTGCGTGCATGCGTGCGTGTGTGCTACGGCCAACCGCTAGACCCAGGGCCTTGGAGAAGCCCAGGGATCACAATGGGAGAGGAAGGAGAGAAGGAAGGCTGGAAGGAAGGGGGGAAGGAGGGAAAGAGGAAAGGGGGAAGGGAGGGGAGAAGGGAAGGGGGAGGGGGCTCGCCTTGAACTTGGAGGGGATGAACAGGTAGAACTGCTGCAGCTTCTCCACCGTGTGGTACTTGGACGACACGGCGCACCTCACGGGGTTCTTCAGCGCCGCTCGCTGCAGCTTCTGCACCTGTGCGCAGGGGCGGGGCGAGGAGGTTGGCACGGGCCCCGTGTGCACGCTCACTGGCGTGGGCTCGGCCAGCCCATCCCCCGACATCCGGGGCCCTCGGAGAGGACTCTCACCTTCTTGGTCATGGTGGCGGAGAAGAGAAAGGTTCTCCGGTCACGGGGGATCACCTTGAGGATCTTGTCCACCTGAGCCAGTGGAGACATGAGCGGATGCCGGCCGTGCGCCCAGCCGCAGGGCTCGGGGTCATGTCCCAGGGCAGGCGTGGAGGGCCAGCTCCGGAACTCACCTCAGTCTCGAAGTCCATGTTTAGGATCCGGTCCGCCTCGTCCATCACCAGGTACTTGAGTGCCCTCAGGTTGAAGCCTTTCGTGTTCTCCAGGTGGTCAATAAGCCGGCCAGGAGTGGCTGCCCGAGAGGAGCAGCAAGCCCCATCAGGAGGGCAGAGGGAGAGCCGCAGGGTCCCAGTGAGGGCGACCCCTCCGTCCCCCCCGCCCCAGATGAGCATGGGTACCCTCCCCCACTCACCGATGACCACATGTGGCTTCTTCGCCAAAGCCAGGGCCTGGGCCATGGAGTCGATCCCGCCCACGATCACGGCTGTGGACACACAAACAGGACGTGCATGGGCCTCATCTCCTCCACCATCCACCCAGGACCCCTAAAACCATGGCCTGCAGCCAGCCATGCCCCCCGCCCTTAGGGCTGACCACGGGTGCCCCCTGTCCTCCACCACTTCCAGCCCTCCTTGGTTCTCACCGCACTGCACCCCAATAGAGGAGCCCAGGGCCTCGAACTGCTCCGCGATCTGGAAGGCCAGCTCGCGGGTGGGGGTGAGCACCAGGGCGAACAGGCGCCGCGGCGTCTCCAGCAGCGCGTTCAGGATGGGCAGCGCGAAGGCGCCCGTCTTTCCCGAGCCCGTCTCCGCCAAACCGATGACGTCCCGGCCTGGAAGACCAACACCCCCGGGTCTGCAGGTTGCAACCAGGGCGCACAGCCCTGGAGCCAACCTCTGCCAGGCCAGGGAGACGGCTGCATAGCTAAAACGTGGCTGTGCCGGCTCGGCGGCTCACGCCTGCAATCCCAGGTGCTCGGGAGGCTGACATCTAAGGATCACGGTTCAAAGCCAATCTAGGCAGGAAAGCTTGAGACTCTCATCTCCAATAAACTACCAAAAAAATGCTAGAAGTGGTGCTGTGGCTCAAGTGGCAGAGCGCCAGCCTTGAGCTGAAGAGCTGAGGGACAGTGTTCAGACTGAGTTCAAGCCCCATGATCGACAAAAAAATTGAAAAAAAAAAAAACCTGATCTGTTCTAGACAAGCTGGGAATCGAACACTGGGATGGATGGACGCACAGACACACAGTGACAAAGGCTTCTAGGCCAATCCAATGCAAAGGAAGGCGGGACTTCCTGCCCAGAAGAGCAGGGGTCACAGAAGCAGGGTGTACTAAACATGCAAGTAAGCAAAAGGCGGCAGTACCTCTGGTAAGGAAACAGCGAGGAAAAAGGAAGATGGTCTAAGGGCCTCACAGCCAGAGGAAGAGCGGGGAGGAGGGGCAAAGGGGGGGGGAACCCCTAGCCACCCATGGGGAGGCTCACTCTGGGGAGGAAAGGGCCACGCTGGTTTGGACTCCGGGATGGGAAGCCCAGCGGCTCTACCACTTAAGCCACTCAGCCCTTTTTTCCTCCATTATTTTTCAGTCTCATGGTATTTTCTTGGGCTGGATTTGAACCATAATCCTCCTGCGTGAGCTTCCTACACAGCGGAGGTGACAGCCATGTACCACAGGGCCCAGCTCGGTTGAGGTTGGAGTCTTACAACTTTTCCCCTGGGCTGGCCTCAAACCACGATCCTCTAGATCTCAGCCTCCCAAGGAGGATTACAGGACTGAGCCACCACGCCTGTGAACTGTGGATCGGCAGGGATCGTTTGCCATGGCTTGCCCTTTGGGGTGTTTTAACCAGGACTTCCCTCACCCTGCAAACCCACAGATCCCTTCCACGAGGAAGACAGGAAGTAGGCTCGGTTAAAAACCGGAGAGAGCCTTTTCCAGAACCCTCATCTCCAGATGTTTATTCCGCCAAGAGCGCAGGGCGAGCTGACAGCTCGGCGGGGATCTGCAGGGCCGCGGGGTGCGGACGTCCACCCACCTTGCAAGGCGAGAGGGATGGCTTCCACCTGGATCCTGGTGGGCTTGGTCCAGCCCAGCTGGTCGCAGGCCTCGCACAGGACGTCGGTCACGCCCTGGGAACGCGGGGCGCGCCTTCAGCCGGGGCCGGGACCCGCGAGGACGGTTCGCGCCCCGGAGCCCTACACCCGGCGCGCGCGCCATCCCGCCCCCCGCCCCCCCCCCCCCAGCCCCGGCCCCAGCACACGCGCATGCGCAGCGAGGGCCGCGAAGGGGCCCGCACGCCTCCAGCGCACGCCACGCCCCGAGCGCGGGGGAGACGCCCGCACCAGCCGCCTCCGTGCTCACCAGATCTTTGAACGTCTGAGCGCCCTCCTCCGTCTCCCCCTCCGCCTTCTCCACCACCGGCCCCGCGGCCTCGGCCGGGCAGTCGCGCTCCTCGGACGCAGCCATCTTGTCCACAGGCTCCGGAAGCGGATGTCGGCCCGCGGGACGCTGGGAGATGTAGTTTCAGCCTTGTGAGGCGGAGGGGGACGGGGAGGAGCCGTGTGGGAGCGCCCCCTGCCGGCCCGCCGGGGTTTTGCAGCCGCCCCGGGAGGGCGGGGCCTAGGGAAAGGTGCGGACCAATGAGAGGCTGAGACGACGGCTACAATGTGCACAATGTGCACCGTGCATACAATGTAAACAGTGTACACAGTATACACAGTGTAAACAATGCACCGTGTAAACAGTGTACATTGTGTATACAGTGTATACAGTGGACTCCGTGTATACCATTTTTACAGTGGATACCGTGTATGCAGTGTGCACTGTGCATACAGTGTATGCAATGTGCACTGTGCATACAGTGTATACAGTGGACACAGTGGACACTGTATATACGGTATACACCGTGTATGCAGTGCACACGGTATGCACCATGTATACAGTGGACACCGTGTATACGGAGTACACAATGGAGGGGTGGGGTGGCTGCCAAGTTGGGGGCTTCGCTGAGGCAGCAGGGTTTCAGCTGAGGAGCAGGAGAAGCCCTTTTAGGGCCCACTAGAGGCGCAAGCGTTCACACCTGTCATCCCAGCTATTCAGGAGGCTGAGATCTGAGGATCGCAGTTCAAAGCCGGCCTAGGCAGGAAAGTCCATGGGACTCTTTTCTTTTTCTTAATTTTTTTTTTTCAGTCCTGGGGCTTGAACTCAGAGCCTGGGCACTATCCCCAAGCTTCTTTTGCTCAAGGCTAGCGCTCTACCACTTGAGCCACAGCACCACCTCTGACTTTCTCTGTGTAAGTGGAGCTGAGGAATTGAACTCAGGGCTTCATGCATGCCAGGCGAACTCTACCACTGAGCCACCTGCCCAACCCCTTGACTAATTCTATGAAGGAAGTTTCTTATCCAGGAATCTGTAATGCCAGCCCTCAGGAGGTTGGGGCAGGAGGAACATGAGGTGGAGGCCAGCCTAGGTCACACAGCTAGATTCTAACCCTGACCCAGTGATTCCTGAAACCTGCGACTTGAACTCAAGGTGTGGGTTGAGTGTGAGCAGTGGTGTCTGTAAACATTATGTTGTGGTATAAAAGCATGGGAGAACCACGCACCCCTCTCCTCACCACCCTGCCATGGCTCCCCATCATTTCCCTGGCCCCAGCCCCCTCCCCTGCATGTGCCTGGGTCTTTGTCCTGGGGTGGTGGTGCAATCATTATCTCCACCTCCGGACACAGAGTAAACAAGAAACAGGGAAAAGCCAGGGCCACCACACATGACTAATCCCCTAATCCGGGGAGACAGGGGGATGGCGGGAGTCTGGGGAGACAGAAAGGCTTTATGTAGGGGGTTCCCAAGCCTCCGGACGGCATAATCCTCCTGCACACTCCCTTTCCTGCCAGGGACGGGAACAAGCCCCCGACTGTCCACGCTAATCTCACCCCAAGCTGATTAGGCACCTGATCAGGAATCAAAGAATATGAAGCGTGAGCTGGCCAGCACCAGAGTCTCAAAAGCAGACAATGCAGGGCAATGCAGGGCCCAAAACGGGCTAGATTCCCCTCAGTCAGAAAGTGCTAGAACAAAAGCATCCGCCCCCCACGTGGAGGACCCATGCAAGACAGGGCGCCAGGCTCTACCTCAGAGGGTGCTGCCCACCTTACCTTCATGGAGTTGGGAAGTTGTTTTTTTAAAGTTTTTTAAAAATTATTTTTACTTTTATTATTTATTTACTTATTTTTGTCCGTTGTGGGGCTTGAACTCTGGGCCTGGTCGCTGTCCCTCAGCTTTTCAGCTCAAGGCTGGCTCTGTACCACTTGAGCCACAGCGCCACTTCTGGTTTTCTAGTGGTTTATTGGAAATAAGAATCTCACAGAGTTTCCGGCCTGGACTGGCTTTGAACCCTGATCCTCAGATCTCAGCCTTCTGAGTAGCTGGGATGACAGGCGTGAGCCCCCGGCACCCAGCTAAAATTATTTTTTTTTATTATCATTAAGTAGTTGCTTTTTAAAATCCTTTTGTTATTTATTTTATTACTATCATTAAGTAGTTGTACAAAGGGGTTTCCATTCAAGATGTCCATGAGGAAAATGCATCTTTTCTTTTCTTTTTTTTTTTTTTGCCTGTCCTAAATCTTGAACTCGGGGCCTGGGCGCTGTCTCCCCTCCTTCCCCTCCCCCCCCACCCCCAACACCTCAGCATCAAACACCCTCAGAAAGCATCTACAGAGCCAGGCCCCTGTGGCTCACACCTGTCATCCCAGCCACTCGGGAGGCTGAGACCTGAGATATGAGGAACATGGTTCAAAGCCAGCCTGGGCAGGAAAGTCCATGAGACTAATTGCCGATTAACTACCAAAAAGCCAGAAGAGGAGCTGTGGCTCAAGTAGTAGAGTGCCAAACACACACAAAAAGTCCACTGCCAGTCACCAAACTGTTCCTGCCATTTCTCTTCTCCCCAGGCCCCTTCAGAAAGTGACACCATCCCATCCGCCGTGCCCGAGGGGGAAACTGAGGCATGGAGCGATAAGGAGGCGCCTCCAGACTGAGCTGGCCTGGCTTCTGTGTTGACTGAAACCGTGAAGGAAGATATTGGGGATCACGTTTCAATAAACAGTGGGGCAGACACGTTCCATCGCCAGACAGAGCCAGGGAGGATCGTGTGTCACCAAGGACAGGCTCCCCTGAGATTAGCGGTGACAGTCCCCAACCCAGCCCTGGCTCCACAGCCCCAAGGCCCGTCCTCCACACAGATGCTCCAGGGGTCCGGGAACTGTGTGCAGCTGACTTGTTCAAACGGAGAGAAGCTGTGCTGGGAAGATGATGGTTTCTCAGTAAATAACACGCAGCCTAGGACTCCAGAGAACTCCAACTCCTGCCCGTCATCCCAGCCACTCAGGAGGCTGAGATCTGAGGATCACAGTTCAAAGCCAGCCTGGGCAGGAAAGTCCATGAGACTCTCATCTCCAATGAACCACCAGAAAACCAATAGTGGTGCTGTGGCTCAAGTGGTAGAAGGCAAGCCTGGAGTGAAAGAGCTCAGGGACAGCGCCCAGGCCCCAAGTTCAAGACCCAGGACAGACAAAAGAAAAAGAAAAAAAAGAACTCAAACTCAAGCCCAGTATTTGGAATCAGGGACACATGGGGGTGGGGAGAGAGTGAATTGGTAGGGAAATTGTTGCAGATTTGAGCCAAATAACGCAGCCACCGGCTGCCTGTGCCTTTCTCCAACGGAGCTGGAGGAGGAGCTAAGAAGATAATATGATAATATTCAAGACTTTGTAGATAATAAATGTGGTCACCACTGCCCTGGTCTGTGGATGGTGCGGGGTGATAAATACATTCCTGACAGGGAAGTCGGGGTTAGGTTTGCCACAAATGACTACAGTTTGGCTTCACAGCTGTATTCTGTAGCCATGGAAATGAGGGGGGTTTTGGTGTCTATGTCAGTACTGGGACTTGAACTCATAACCCTAAGTTTATTTGCTCCATGATGGCGTTCTACCACATGAGCCACAGTTTCACTTGCGGCTTTTGGGTGGTTCACTGGAGATAAGAGTCTCACAGTCTTTCCTGCCCGGGCTGGCTTTGAACTGTGATCCTCAGATCTCAGCCTCCTGAGTAGCTGGGATGACAGGCATGAACCACCCCGGGCTCCTTGCTTCAACCATAATAAAATCCTTCTGCTGTGACAGGAGGGAGAGGAGCCGTGTGATCTCCGGGGAGGACGGGCCTTGGGGTTGTGTGGATGGGATCTTTGTTCCTGCTGCCAGCCAGTCAGCCTGGGACTCTTCTGGAGGCCTTGCAGCTGCTGTACCCAGTGAGTTGTATTTCAGTCCGATCTGATTAGGCCTGGCAGGTAACAAACGTTCCTTTCCTTCCAGAGGCCTGGCGGGGGAGGGGCGGTAATGGATCCCCTTTCCCCCTCTCCCCCAGACCTCAGAAAATGCATGGTACTGAGCATTCAGCACCTACCATTCAAATAGCTGCTGTGTCCTGGGGAGGGGGAATTCCCCTGGGTCCAGCCCCCCCCCATCCCTGTCCTCATCTCCTGTGCCCCCCCTCTCCCTCCCCCCCATCACCCCACCCCCCTGACCACACTCAAACCACACAGAGGGTTCTGTTGTTGTTGTTGTTAAGGGAGTTGTGGAGATAAGCCAGGATCCAATCTTCAGTTCCCCTCCTCCTCCGGTGCAGTTCCCCCTCTGGTCTGCCTGTGGGCTGTTGGGGGGGGGGGGGGGGGGAGGTCACAGACCCAGCAGGTCACAGAAGCCCCTCCCCCCAGCTGCCTGTGTATAGAGGAGGAGGTGTGAAGACCTGGGAGGTGTCAAAAGGCCACCCACAGTGGCTCACCCCTGTAATTCCAGCTATGCAGGAGGTGGACATCTGGAGCACTGTGGTTCCTCTTGACCAACAAGCCTGGCATGGTGGTCCATGTCCGTCACCCCAGCTATACAGGAGGTTGTAGGTAGGAGGATCATGGGCTGAGGCCAGCCCAAGTAAACGCTATCCAAATAATAACAATAACAACAATAATAACTAAAGCAAAAAAAAAAAAGGTGGCTATGAGCTGGGTGCCAGTAACTCACATCTGTCATCACAGCTATTGGGGCGTCTGAGATCTGAGGATCCAGGTTCAAAGCCAGCCTGGGGAGGAAAGTCTGTGAGACTTATCTCCAATAAGCTACCCAGAAAAAGCCAAAAGTAGAGCTGTGGCTCAAGTGGTAGAGTGCCAGCCTTGAGCAAAATAGCTCAGGGACAGAGCCCAGACCCTGAGTTCAAGCCCCAGGACTGGCCAAAATCAAAAAAGAATGCAGGCATCCCAGGTCCTGGGTCTGGCTGGCCACACGGCACCCACAGCCCTCCCCCTCCCCCATCATGTGTGAGGTTTCGGTGTTGCTCTCAGTTCTTCACATGCTGACATTTTTTGTTTTACTATTTTTTTTTTTGTCAGTCGTGGGACCTGAACTCTGGGCTGGGCGCTGTCCCTCAGCTCTTCAGCTCAAGGCTAGCGCTCTACCACTTGAGCCACAGCTCCACTTCTGGCTTTTTCTGCTTATGTGGTGCAGAGGAATCAAACCCAGGGCCTTAAGCATATGAGGCGAGCACTCTACCACTGAGCCACCCCCCAGCCATATGCTGACAGTTTTGCCCAGAGAAGAGCAGCACCAGAGCACGAAGCACCACTGAGGCACTGAGGGACTGCGGGGACCAAAGAGAAGGAGTGGGGGTGGGGGGGGATGGGCTAAGGGACCCCGAAGGCCCCCAGGGAGGGAAGGCTCCCGGGCCTGCCTAAGCCCCACCCAAAGAAGACCCCTAGGCCACAATCTGCCAATCAAAGGCTGGGGGCCCAGTCCAGCCTCCCCGCTCTGACCAGCCCCGCCAGGAACAGGGTGCTTGTGCCCCATCCTGTTTTCAAAACAACAACAAAAATCCTTCAGATACTTCTTTTCTTTTTTTCTTTTGGTTGGTCCTGGGGCTTGAACTCTGGGCCTGGGTGCCATCCCTGAGCTTTCTTGCTCAAAATTGGCGCTCTACTGCTTGAGCCACAGCACCACTTTCGGTTTTCTGGTGGTTTATTGGAGATAAGAGTCTCATGGCTTTTCCTGCCTACCTGACTTGGAACCTCGATCCTCAGATCTCAGCCTCCTGAGTGCTTGGGATGACAGGCGTGAGCCACCAGTGCCCGGCTATTATCTCTCTTTTGAAGTCTCCTTCCAAAGGTGAAGAATTCATGATTTTCCCAGGTGTGGTGGGGCATCCCTGCAATCCTGTAATACCAGCACTTGGGAGGAGGCTGAAGCAGGAGGACTAAGTTTGGGGTCATCATGGGCTCAAAAGAAAAAAACAAGACAGAGAGAGGGAAGCAAGGAAGGAAAAAGACAGAAGGAGGGAAGGAAGAAGAGGGAAGGCAGGCACTGGAATGTGGCTGGACAGTGGAGTACTTGTTTAGCATGTGCCAGGCCCTGGGTTTGAACCCAGCACTTCAAGAAACAAAAAAGACAGGAACTGTTGTTGGCTGAAAGTTCTGTGTCCCTTGAATCTGGTCAGCCAATATAAGGGAAAAGTGATAGTTCTGAACCCCACGAAGAGACAGCTCAGCATTCACCCCCAGATGCTCACAGCACGCCCCCCCCATACCCCATGGAGGCCAGGAGCCCGGCCTTGTGGCTGTGGCCGTGGACACACGCATGCACACACACATATATACACGCACACACATGCACACATGTATGTGCACACACACACGCACATATGTACACACATGTGCATATAAATACACACATGTGCATATACAGCACACACGCACACACGTGCACGCATATACATACATGCGCACACATACACATACGCATGCTCATATGCACACGCATGCACACATAAATACATGCATATGCACATACACAGCACGCACGCACACATACGCGTGCACACATATACATACACATGCTCATATGCCCACATATGCACACAGTATGCACACTCCTCGCAAGTCTACAGGGCTCAGCGAGGCCTGGGGCTGGATAGAAATATGCAGGAAAATGAACAGCCGCTCCTTCGCTGCTGCGATGAATGTCCGCAAAAGCAGAGAATGAGACCTGAAGAAAAACTGGGCCCCAGGATCAAGAACTTGTGACGCTGGCAGGCACCGGTGGCTAGCATCGTTATTCCTAGCCCCTCAGGAGGCTGAGATGGGGAGGACTGCAGTTTGAAGCCAACCTGGACGCAAACGTCTCTGCGATTCCGTCTCCTGCGAACCAGAGAAAAGCTCGAAGTGGACGAGCGGCCCGGGCAGCAAAGCGCTAAGCGAGAACCAGCGAATCAGCGGGGCTGGCAGCCGAGGCCCCGCCCACCCACCAATCCCGAGGTCCCCGTGGCTGCGCGGGGCGGAGCCTGCGCCAGAAGCCCCGCCCTTCTCCCAATCCCAGGAAACGAGGGCGGGGCCTGGTGTCGAAGTCCCGCCCATCCTCCCCTCCCCTGGGAGGCCAAAGATCACGTCACGTGGTCCAGGGCGCGGTGTGTTTTTTGTTTTGTTTTGTTTTTTAAACAAGAAAACCAGCGGCAAAAAAAAAAAAAAAAAAAAAATTCAAACCGCGAGCGCGCGCGCGGGTCCGGGAGCGGCGGGGCGGAGCGGGGCCGCGCGCCCCCGCGTCGTCTTCCCGCCCCCCGACCGGGCCTCGGGTCCACCTTAAGTGCGGGCCGCCGCCGGGCGGCCCGACCCCCCACTCGGCCCCTGGGGAAACCGGGAGGCCCCGCCCCTGGCCCCGCCCCGCGCCCCAGGGGGAACCGAGAAGCCCCGCCCCCAGGCCCGCGCACGCGCAGCGAGTGCCCGCCCGGCCTCGCCAGCCGCGGCCGAGCGCCGGGAGCGGGCGCCCAAGTGCGGGGAGCAGCGGTACAGTGCCCACCCGGCCCGGCCCCGTCACGACCCCGGCCCCCTGGTCATCCGGGGCTCCCGGACCCAACATGATCTCCCCGATCATCCGGAGCTCCCACACCCAACACGTCCCCCCTCGATCATCGGGGCTCCCCGATCATCCGGGCCGCGCGGGTGGGGATCACGGCGTGTGGGGCCCGGGAGCCGGGGCGGTGGTTTCGGGAAGGGGGTCCGGATGCCCCGGGACAAGGCTACGCCCCCATCCCACCCGAATTCCTCCCCTTCCCACGCCCGGATCCGTGGGGGCCGTGGGGCCCCCGGATGACCTGGGGGGTAGTGGGGTCCCCAGAGGGGGCCGGCTGTGACCTCCCGCCCTCCCCAAGGGCGACTTCTATCTTGCTTTTCGTTGGATGCCTTTCCATTTTCCCTAGAGAAGGCAGCGGTCAGGGGTCAGCCAGGTAAAGCTAACCTTAAGGCGCTTGGTGGCTTCTTCTTTTTCCCTTTAGATGAAGAATAAAAATGATCTTGGCTGCACGATTTGGTATATTCTCAGCAACTAGGTTTTTGGGGACACGGCGACATCTAAGCAGGACACCCAGAAATGGGGGTTTTTACCCGGTGACATTTGACCAGGAGGCCCCAGGTGAGTGTGGGCGGCCCAGGGCCGCGTCTGGGGTGGGGGTGCTCTGGCTGGGTAGGGGGCAGGGGGCAGGGCCTGGACAGGGAGGGGGTAGAGGGGCAGGGGGCAGGGCCTGGACAGGGAGGGGGTAGGGGGCAGGGGGACAGGGCCTAGGCAGGGCCCCGCCGGCCGCTCTGTTCTCAACACCCCTGGACGTCAGCGACTTACTTTCATTTTCAGTCCACCGTGGCCGGGGCACGCCACTCTGCTAAGAAGCAGTCTAACTAGTGCAGACTCCACACTGCATTCTTACTGGCTTTTCTGCTTCAGGAGCTCTGTCTGCAGGTAAGGGAAGCAGCTAGTGCTGATTATCTTCGGACCCCCGTTTTTGTTGTTGTTCGCCTGTTTGTGTAACAGTCTGACCTGACAGGGTGCATTTGAAAGCAAGTGCTTCGCTGTCCACTCAAGTAGCTACAGAAGTTTTCTTTATTGATTGCTTGATGTGTAACAGTAATTGGCATTTTTTCACATATTACAAAAAAAATTATACTTGGCTCAGTATGCAATCTTTTAAGCACAGCCGTATTATTTAACAAAAAAATGGAAGTGGGCCTAGTCTGCCCAGAACAGCATTTACAAATGCACACAACTTGCCACTTTGGCTTGTATATTGGTTAGATTCTTTTTTTTTTTTTTTAAAGAGATCTCTTTGTAACATAAATAAGTTAGTATAATTTTTCAGTGTCTTTACAGTTATGTACAGGTCCACTGGGAGTGAAATGATTTTGTCTCCTACAAAAACATGAAGGCACATATATAGAGCGCCATCCCTGCCCTCCTGAAAAACGTCCACACAGCCGCCTGCCCGTAGGCAAATCAAACAGAACCAGGAGCATGGAATGGAAGATTCTTTCTTGTGTGTGTAAAGGTACAGAGCTATAAAAACTGAGGATAGCTGGAGTGGAAAGGAAACTAAAATTTCCCCAACGAATTTGGCAAGCGTATAGAAAGAGGGTCAGTTGTCAACATTCAGAATTCCCACGTACACAAACACACCCCAACCAGATTTTATGCCTCCAACTACCTGGCTTCTTACCAAACTGCTGGAAAATGAAGGGGTGGCTTCCAATTTTAAAGGCACACTAAGGCGGACTTTTTGTTGTTTTCAGGCATTTGCTGCTACGTAAAAGGACTGGAAAACCTCCCAGGTCCCACATGAGAGCAGGATTTGTATACAAATACAGAGCCACTCTCTGTAAGCCAGTGTTCAAATCTTGATTTTTTTTTTAAATGAAGTCTCAGATTCTCACCCCAAAAGGGCCATGATTAAATCTTTAAGGGAAAACAGACCCTTCCCCCAAATTGCTTCTCTGCAAGTCACGAATGTTTTTTTGTCCTTGCTATAAATGGAAGCAAGATCTCCACCCCCCCAACCCCGCCCACCCCCCCTAAAGTTTTATGTGCTACATAAAAAGTAAAAACTATGTACACAGGTAGGACAAAGAAGCAAATAAGGCAAAACCTAATTGCATGATGCTACATCCCAGGCTGGAGGCGGCGGTAGAGCCTCTCAAGGCAGAAGAGGCCGGTAACTTAGTGTTCCCTGTCCACTCTTGTTCAGTGCTTATTTGTGAGTCAGCGATATGTCTCAAAAAGCATTCACAGGCCTCTTCCAGGCTTGAGCCGCCATGTTTCTAACAAGGAAACATTTCTTGATTCTGCAAAAGAAACAGAGGAGGAAGAAATCAGGGAGAGGTTGCAACAGTAGCCTTCATTTCCAGTCAAGTACATTCTTTTTTTTTTTTTTTTTTTTGCCACTGGGGAGTTTGTTTTAAAACTTGTCTAATTTCAAATCTTCCAGTCTTTCATGTTTTCTCTCTCTCTCTCTCTCTCTCCTGGGTGTTGCTTGAGCTGTGGCTGGGCGGGCAGGCCATCCTGCCCGGACGTCCAGGGATGCGGGGAAGACGTTTCTTGGCTGTGGAAAGGCCAGGGATATGGCCAAAATATTCCTAAACCACAGGACAGCCTGGTAGAACCAAGAACAGTTCCTCTCCAAAGGACGGAAGTGCAGAGGGGAAGACCCCTGAAGAATCTGGGATCTGGAGTCTGGCGCCCAGGGCTGTCGCCTGAAACCCTACTCAGGAGGCTGAGCTCTGAGGATCCCCGTTCAGAACCAGGCTGGGCAGGAAACCCATGAGACTCACCTCCAACAAACCACCAAAAACTTGAAGGCCAGCTGTGGGTCAAGTGGTAGAGTGCCAGCCTTGAGCAAAAGAGCTCAGGAACAGTGCCCAGACCCTGAGTTCAAGCCCAACTTGACACCCCCCCTCCCCCACGAACCTGGGTAGAAAATTCAGATACTTAACACTTTAAAGTAGCCTAACTGCCTGACTTTGAATAATGCTCAAAAACATAACCCATAAAAGACCTCTGAAGGAAAATTCTAACTTCCCTTCTTGAAAAACATTCTAATTTCCTGTTCCTGTGCACAGCATACTCATGCAAGTTTTTACACAGGCCTGAGGGCCGTTTCTGGTTTCTAGTATTCAACTGGCACCACCACTCACAAAACATCTCCAACAGAGCCACATTAAAATCCGGAGGGGACGCGGCTCTGGCCAGCTAGGCCACAAGTGGCAGAAGTCAACAGGATGGCAGGGGTCCACCTTCTTGCCCGACCTCCTGTTGGGATGGAGGGTCTCCCTGGGCACTGGGAGCAGCGCTGAGAGCCGCCAGGTGTGGGTGGCAAAGAAGTCCGGGAGGGACGACGGGGTCTACCCATGTCTCCGTGGCCACTCTCCTCACAGGGAGTCGCGAGAGGCTGCTGAGAGCCTCTGAAAAGGAAAAGCAGGTCGCAGCCCTGGTCCACGGGGTTCACACGCTGTCCAGACCTCGGTCTGATCACCTCCGACGGCACATCAACTTGGGGCTGAATGATTCCAGTGACTTCTGCCGGTGCTGAGGAAAAGCTTCCCCTCGGTACGGGCCTGTCCCCACCTTTGCCATCATCCCCCCCGGCCGCCCGGCTGGCGCGCTCGGTGGGGCCTTCCAGGGGCGACCCCCGGGCTGGCCGGTCCGACGTCTTTCTGCGTGGCAGTTCCAGGGCGACCCGGAGAACCGCGGAACTTCCCCAGACAGCTCTCCCTCTCCCATTTTAATGCAGATTCCTTCCTTCCCCGCACTGCAGCTCACCGGGTGCCCCGCCTGGCCCCACTTGCGGGCTAAATGCTGGGGTTCACTCTGCAAACACGAGCTCTGGGGCGCCCCGGACCCCGTGTTTCACGGGGGCCTGGCTGTTTCCATGGGACGCCAGGACTGAGGCGCAGAGCCCCGCGGGGCCCGGGGCCGGCGGGCGGCGCCTCGGGGTCAGCGCCCCGCTCTGGGATCAGGACGATCCCCCCCATCAGCGCACCCCGGGATCAGCGCGCCCCGGGTCGGCCTCCGCCGGGTCAGCGCGCCCCGGGATCTGTCCCCCACGCCCTTACCCAGTCTACGTCGTGGGCCTGCGCGGCGCTGGCTTCCTCGGGGTCCGCTCCGCGGGGCCCGCGTCCGCGCTCGGGGCGCCGCCCGCCCCGGCCCCGCTCTCCTCCCGGTGCGCTCTTTTGTTCTGGGCCGAGGAACCTGAGGCCGAAGGGGGGGGGGGGAAGGGATGAGGGAGGGAGGGGAGGCGGGGACGGGGCGGAGACCGGCTGGGATCCGATCTCACGACCACCAGCACCCAGGGCAGGAGAGCCGGGTCTCACCAGCCAAGCGGTGTCCGCCCAGGGACGGACAGACACACGAACAGCGGACAGACGGACGATCACTGGACGCACACCGCACAGCGGACAGCCAGACGGACACCGGACAGACAAGACACCGCACGACCGGACGGACGGAGACTGGACAGACACCGCACGGACGGGCACCGCACGGACGCGCGGGCCGCGCCTCACCTTCCCCGGCGGGCCGCTTGCGGGCGGCGGCGGCGGGCTCGGGCGCGTCGGGCGCGGGCTCCCCGGCGCCGTCCCCCGGGCTGGCGGGCGCGGGCGCGGGGCGCGGGCGCGCGCGCGGCGGGCGCAGGTAGAAGTCGGGCAGCGCCCCGCGCTCCACCGCGCGCCACTCGAAGCGGCCGTGCAGCGGGCGGTGGTTGCGGAAGTCAAAGTTCCAGCGGCGGCGGCCGGCGGCCTCCAGCTCCCGGCGGTGCCGCTCCAGGTCCCGGCGCAGCTCCTCGTGGTCCACGGCGCCGAACAGGTTGCGGCAGGCCGACGGCTTGGGCGGCGCGGGCGTCCGCGCGTCCGCGCGCTCCAGGCGCGGGCTGCCGCCGGACACCCGCACGTCCGACATGGCCGCCGGGGCCGCGGGGCCGGCGCGGGGCCCGGGACCCGGGACGGGCTGCGGGCCCCCGGGAGGGCGCGGGGCGCGCGGGGCAGCCCCGGATCCGCGCTCCGATCGGCCGCCCGCGCGCCGACCCTGGCCCCGTCCGAGTGCGGGCCGCGCGCGGGACGAGGCGCCGCGGGACGAGGCGCTGCGGGAGAGCCGAGCCGGGCCGAGCGGCGCTTGTTTTCCTCAGCACCCCAACATGGCGGAGGACGGGGCTGACGGCGGAGACGCGGGCGGACGCGGGCGGCCCCGTCTATTTAAACTGAGGCCGAGCGCCATTGGCTGCGGCGCCGGGCGCCGCCCCGCAAGCCGCGCGCTTAAGGTGGACCGGGCTCCGCGCGCGCCCCGAGCGCCGCCGCGCCGCCGGCCCCGGGAGCCTCCGTGCGTGCTTGCGCGCGCGCAGCCACCCCGCGCGCCCCGAGGCGCCGCCGCGCGCGCACGTCCCCAGGCCCCTCCCGGCGGGCGCGCTCTCGAGCGCGTTCCCGCGCGTCTGCGCCTGCGCGTTCCCAGGTTCTGCCCACAGTCGCGGCACCGTCTGAGCTCCAGGGCGCGGAAGCTGGGGGTGCGTGCACACCGCACCCCGAGTCCCCGCTCGAAGCCAGCCTGGACAGGAGGACCGGCGGCCTCCTCTCCCTGAAGGTGGGGAGACCGAGGAGCCCGCGTGCGGCGGCAGAGCGCTTGCTTGGAGCGCAGGGAGCCCCGGGTTCGAGTCCTCAGCACCACACACAGAAAAAGCCTGGAGTGGGGCTGCGGCTCGTGCGGTCGAGCGCCAGCCTGGAGCATGGAGAGGCTCGGGGACCACGCCAGGACCCGAGTTCAAGACTCAGGACTGACAATAAATAAATAAAAATAACGGAAGAAAGAGCCCCGGGCCGGCTGGATCTGATCGGCTTCCAGGAACTGACACTTCCAAGACACCTTCGGGGTGGGGATGGGGGGGCGGGGGCGGGGATGGGGGGGGTCGGGGATGGGGATGGGGGGGTCGGGGGTGGGGATGCGGGGGGTCAGGGGTGAGGACTGCTCCGCCCACCTCAACCTCAAGCCCCAAACACTGCAAACACAGCCCTGTCCCTTCTCAGCTGTTAGGAAACAGCTGGGCCCAGCCCAACTAATACCTGGAAGGAGGGGGTCTTGGGAAGGAGGGGATCCGGAGATTCCAAAGGCATCTGGCTCCGACACTAGCAAATATTTACCAAACACCTCCTGTTAATTCGCTTTTTCTTTCACTTCTCTCACACATGTCCATCTAGTGACTTCTAGAAGCCAAGTATTGTCTGAAGCTGGAGGGGGGAGGGGCGTGGCGCAGGTGTGAACAGATCTCAACTAGGATGAAGTCTGTGGTAGTAAGAGAAAGGGAGACAGATAATGGTGTGTGTGTGTGTGTGTCCTGGGGGGGGGGGGGTTTGAACATGGGTCCTGTGTGCTGTCCCTAAGCTTTTGTGCTCCAGGCTGGTGCTCTACCACTTGAGCCACAGCTCCACTTCCGGTTTTCTGGTGGTTCATTGGGAGATCAGAGTCTCATGGACTTTCCTGCCTGGGCTGGCTTTGAACCTTGATCCTCAGATCTCAGCCTCCTGAGCTGAGATCTGATGTTTGGTGTAGCCCTTGGCCAGAAAATACAATGAAGGAGCCAAGTGTACAGTGTTCGAGTTGATTGGGGCTGTGCAGAAGTCACCTGGGAGAGAAGGAAGGGGCACTGGGTGCGAGTGGAATGTTGGGACAGCCTGGGCAGGGGCAGTCCCTGCGGGTGCAGCCTGGGCCCCGGCACAGAGCACAGCTCATGGGGCCTGTGAGGGCTTCAGAAGGCTCCCCTCTCCTCCTCCTTCTTCTTCCCAAGACCCAGGTTGGAATTCAGGCCCACTGAGCTTTTTTGCTCAAGGCTGGCACTCTACCACTTGAGCCACAGCTCCACTTCCAGCTTTTCACTGTTTAGTTGGAGACGAGCCTCCTGGACTTTCCTGCCCAAGCTGACTTTGAACGGAGATCCTCAGATCTCAGCCTCCTGAATAGCGGGATGACAGATGTGAGCTTTGCAGAGACCTTGTCTGGTGTGGCGTCCATGGTCCCATTGCTAAGCTCCTAATCAAGAAGCGTTTAAAGGCCAGGATCCAAAGAAAATGACATTGGCCAGTTTTAGAAAAACAATTCCCCCCCGCAAGGAAAACTGAAAAGTCAGTATTTTAAGAATAGGATAGAGGGGCTGGGCAGGTGGCTCCGTGGTAGAGCGCTTGCCTCGCATGCATGAAGCCCTGGGTTTGATTCCTCAGCACCACATAAGCAGAAAAGGCCAGAAGTGGCGCTGTGGCTCAAGTGGTAGAGCATTAGCCTTGAGCTGAAGATTTAAGGGACAGTGCCCAGGCCCAGAGTTCAAGTCCCATGACCAACAAAAAACAAAACAAAATAAACAACAACAAAAACCAGGAAAGAAATCCGGACTGGTGAGCCCATGCCCATGAACAGGATTGAATGGGAGCAGACGTCCTCGGTACGGCTGGAACATCCACGCTATCACACCACCCTCCACCACACCCCAGCCTTCACACTGAGAAAAATCACCCCTACCTGAGGCTTTAGGTTATGCACTCTAATACCAATAATAAAATTTAAAAACAAAACCGTGACAGTGCACACTTCTTGCTTCTGACCATTCTCCCTTGAGTAATTACTCACATAGATGTCCCTTGAGTAATTATTCGCATGGATATTGTTCATTTCTTCACTCATTAAATTTTTAATGAGCCCTGAGCAGATGCCAGCCCCTCTGGGGACCCGGGGGAGAACAAAGGTGACCGGGTGCCCGCTGCCCTGGGGTGGCCTGCGCTGGCCAGGGCGCCAGGCACACAATGCACCAGGCCAGCGGGCGGGCCACGTCATGTCCTTACTTGTGCCAGAAAACAAGCGGCCCGGTTGAGCGGAGACAGTGATGAAGGCAGGTGCTACGCCCACAGGATAGGACTCCAGACTCGGCATTTGAGAGTGGGAATGAGCCCGGGGCAGTCATGTAATTCTCGGTATTCTGGCAAGGTCCAGCGCTTGGAGGGGAAGAACCTACCTGGTCGGGTTGAGAAGCCAATGAGGTGGAAATACAGCGGGTGACGGCGAGGTCAGAGGGAAAATGGAGCTGCAGATGATGCAGGCTTACCAGCCAGGGCAAGGCCAGGTTCCACAGAGAGACAGATGACAGACAGATGGGTGACCGACAAGACAGATGGACAGACAGATGGATAACATCGATGAGACTGTCAGACAGATGGCAATTACTAGGTAGATGATGGATCTATCAAGACCATTGCTAGAGAGTTGATAGACGAAGAGATGTGATTGCCAGATGAAGACGATTTCTGCGTAGATGATTGATAGATCAATAGGACAGATCAAAAGATACATCAATAAGATTCATAGATGATCAGTAGATGAGAGATCGATAGATCAGCAGCATCGATGACTGGTAATGACAGATGTTGATACATGATAAGTCAATAGACTGAAAGCTGCTCTTTGGTTTGCCCACGGAGTTCTGCATGATCTTGGTAAGAACTGTGGAGCAGTGGGCCAAGAAAAGCCCTGTGTGCATGTACCTCATACCCACACAAGGAATAAACCGACTTCCTGAGTCCTGGCCAGGCATATGGGCGGGAGGCTGGCTCAGGGGGAGTGTTACGCTAGCATGTACAAAGCCTTCATTTCTATCCACAGCACTGCTTACCTCCCACCACCACCAAAAAATGGGGGGACATTTGCCGACTGCCTTTCCTTCTGCTCATTGTCAGTTTTTCTGCCAGGGCCTTGAGTATCTCACCCTAACTGATATACAGGGTGCAGTGGCCATAGATGGCCTTGCGCCCCCATGGTGGGAACTAGCCCTCCGGAGAGCGAGACAATCCATCGAGGCACAGACAGGGAAAGGTGGAGAAGAGACGTTTATTTACCCTATTTACACCACAAAAGGGTCTTGAGAATACCTGTCCTGGGCTAGATACCAAGAATCAAGAGCAGCCTTGACCACCAAACCTCCGAGCCTCCAATAGGCAGTCCTGACCAACCCCCCCCCTCCCCCCGACCTTTATGAGTTGGTCTGCAAACCTCCAAACCTCACACCTCCAAACCTCCAAAGGGGAAGGCTTTTTTCCCCTTCCTCCTTCTCTCCAGGCCTCTCCACTGTCCACAGGCCTGCACTGCTCTGCTTCTGGAGGCGCCTCTCCACAGGCCTCCCTAGAGGAAGGTCCCAAATGGCCTCTCGAGGAGGCCCGGGGTGACCTCCCGAGGACTGCCCTGTCCTTCACTCCTACGCCTATCCTTCTTCGGTGCTAACTCCATCTTAACTTCCTAACGGTTTTCCAACTGCCACTTATGCTCCTCCCCCAAGCTGCCCACTGTCCAATCCCTTCCTGACAGCTCACCATGGGAGGTTCAATGCTCCACCCCTCCAGGACATGCCCCGCCCTTTCTGCGGCACACCCCGCCCCTTTCGGCGGCATGGCCTCTTGATGCCCCGCCCCCTCCAGCAGGCCGGGCCCCACCGGGTCATTACAAAACCAGAAGTGGCGCTGTGGCTCAAGTGGTAGAGCGCCAGCCTTGAGCGAAAAGAGCTCAGGGACCAGGCCGAGGC